ATAAAGACGATTTTTGTGTGACAAGTACATTTTCAGTAATAGAAAACAAATCTTACTTCAGGTGTCTCGCCATCTATATAATTTCTATTTAAATTGCGGTTGAGTGTTCCTTAGTGGCGCTTTAGACCAAACACCTAGGTTGATGTAGCTGTTCTAATTTTTTTTTGTACACAACATTTTCTGGTCCCAGACTGGTCGGGTACTAGAAAACTGATAAACATACTTAAACATACTTTTCTTTTGTAAATAAATACATATTATACACATAGAAACACCCAGACACTAGAAAAACACCATGTTCATCACACAATATTTTTCCAGTAGTGGGGATCGAACCCACACCCTCTGGCGCAGGAGGTACACTACCCACTACGCCATTCGGGTCGTCATTATCAATCGTCAAATTGATTTGTCCATATCCTGTGACTGAGTGTAACTGAAGATATGACAGCAATCGAAATTCTAATTTGTAATCTAAATTCTAATTTTTTAACAGAGTATAGAAGAATGATACATTAAGGCAGTATATTGGTCCTGTTAATCTGAGCTACTACGCAGCCAGGTTGTTTGATTTTTTTTTTTATTTTATGTACTGGTAATTTTGTTTAAATTGGAATGATTGCTTATTAGTCTTAAGACAACGTATACGATAGTTATTTGAGGAAATTGAAACGTTTATTTGGGACAGAATATTTAGCTGACAGAATATTTAGCTTGCAAATCATCTGAAATGTTTATTTTTTTATATGTCCGTGAGTTTTGCCAAAATGAAAACTGTAGTGTACTCAAAAACATACCTGTATACAGCGTGTCGTTACCATCGCGACAATAAATGAACACACATATAGGGGATAACTTTTTAAAGTTGTATTAAACATTTAAATTTTTTAAACATCAATATTTACAGAGTTATAAAATTTTCCAAAACAAAGAATTTTAGAACACCCTTACCTATAAAAGCGTAACATAAAGTTCATTTGTAAAGGTCACAAAGCATATGAATGGGTTGAATGAGCTTAAAAGAGACAAAACATACTGTTAGAAGGAGAGGCTTGTAATGCGACGCTGTGGCGCGAGTTGTATAGGATGTTACAAATTTTGTTTCTTTTTTAATTAATTAGTTTGTTTGAAAAATATTTTTTTTTAATTATGGATTTTGTTTAACATTAATATTTTTTTATGATTATTGGTAAGTAGCGTTAGACGTGTGTTCATTTATTGTCGCGATGGTAACGATACGCTGTATATATATTATTCAGCACGCCATCATTTCCAAAGCGTATATGATTGCTATTATTAACGAGTAGAATATTGTTAATGTTCTCATGAAAAAGATTTCGTTTAAAAATTTCTTATATAGAATGTGGTTAATGTCATACATTGACAATTTTGTGAAATGAAAGCTAGCAAGTAGATTGAAAAACATTATTGCTCAACATTTGCTTCTTTTTTATTGCTTCTTTTACATTCCATTTAAGCCCCGATCTCAACTGGATATGACCTGTCCTGCGCAGTGAAGTAGAAATTGTACTCACCCTAGCACCAACTTTTTTCCATTAAAGCTGAAATTATGGTTTATTATGACACAGGCTTCAGCCGGATGAAATCGTCTGCGGAGTCCTTTGACAAAATATTCATTTTAAACTGTGCCGAAAGAGTTCCGAGTTTTATAATTATGTATATCATGCACATAATAACAGAACTAATTTTTTTTAACGTTAAAAATTGTGAAGTGATTACCGCCGCCAATGGACACCTGCAAAACCTGAGGTCTTGAAGATGCCTTGACAACCCTTTAAAAAGAAAGATCCCTATGTAAACGAAAACCTCGGTGGTAGGGCCCAGCGACAGTCTACGCTGTTGCACGAATGGGAAGGTCTATCCGGGTCCATCTGGTGCACGACCTCACAGTAGACCAACGTGAAACGCGTTAGTGGTCAGGGAGGTAACCGGGGCCCACTTTATTAAAAGGTGACAACGCATCTGCATCTGCTTCTTTCTCTCAGGCTTTTCTTTTCCTAACCGGTACACACACCGGCATTTAGACATTCAATAAGTAATCTGTAATAAAAGAAATATAAATTTGAATTCGTAAAATGCGGTCGAACTCTCCGGTGTGATTCCCTTATTGCTTTTGATCTTAAATTAGGTACGTACAGGGCCAGATTTAGAGGTCTGGAGGCCTCGGGACAACAAAGGAGTGGAGTCCCCTTGGCCCCAAATTATTTCCTATTGATTTCTGTTAATATTTAATGTAGGTACTGTAAGTACTGTAGGTAAAAGTAAAACGCGAAAAAAATATGAAAGGAAAAGTTGTTTACTAGTCTGAATTTGATTTTTTTTCCCGAGGTCCTCGTCTGTGGAGGCGCCGGGGTTATTGCCCCAGTTGCCCTCCCCTAAATCCGGCCCTGGGTACGTGTAAAGGTTTACAGACGTGGCGATGGCTGCCCGTTCAATTGCCCCTGCCCTTTTGGAGTATTTCGATAATTGGAGAGCTACTTATTAACTTATCGTCCAAAATAGCCGGGAACGGTTCTCCAATATCAACTTTCCGAGGTACAACTTTGTGAGGTACTCTTCGGGGAGTCGTCGGGCGAACGAACTTAAAGGTTCATCGAGTTCGTTTGCTGTTAGCGGCTGATGCCCGAACCGCGATGTGAATTCTCGTTTCGAATCTGGTTCATTTATTTCTTTTGTTTTCATTTCACGACCCGAATGGCGTAGTGGTTAGTGTACCTGCCTCCTGCGCCAGAGGGTGTGGGTTCGATCCCCACTACTAGAAAAATATTGTGTGATGAACATAGTGTTTTTCTAGTGTCTGGGTCTTTTATATATCTATAATATGTATTTATTTACAAAAGAAAAGTATGTTTAAGTATGTTTATCAGTTTTCTAGTACCCATAGTACAAGCGTTGCTTAGTTTGGGACTAGAAAATGTTGTGTAAAAATGTGTCCTAAAATATTTACTTATTATTATTTATTTATTATTATTTCAGACCATATTTATGTACGTTATACAGTCCCAAACTATGCATTGCTTTCACTATGACTTACAGTCCCGAGACTATTAAAGCGTCATCTGACGCAGCTTTCACTATGGTTGACTGAAGAACATAGTTAAATATTTAAGCGATATAAATTTTTGTAGTGCTGCTCTGTGCACTTAAGACGATTGTTTGTAGAGAAAATGGACGTAAAATCTCTGGGATATGCTCCCGACGTTCTTGCTACTATGCTAAACGGCTTATATTCACATTAACAAAAATCTCAACGTATTTAACTTTACACTTACGTTACTCTCAGTGTGTTTTTAGTGGGCTTTCTCTACAATAAGGACCAACTTTTGATATAACATTTCACAATGAAATATTTGAAAACTAGAGATGTCACGTTGCCATTAAAATTTAAATGACATAAAATTTTTATATTGGTATTCCCTGCATTTAAGACGATTTTTGGAAACTTAATGGTTTCATTAAAAAACTCAGCATTTTACTCAAAATTTTACATAACTCAAGTAATTTCATTTCAAGTAATTTTTTATAAATTTTTAATTTTCATATTTAGTTCATTGTTTTATCCTTTTTTTTTTTTCTTTATATGTAATCGTACTTGTATTGTAACAATTATTAAGTTATCGTACACTTAATGTCTTTTTAAACATTTCACATTCACAGTCACTTTAACTACCTTTAAATGTATCTCTCCTATATCTTCTTTTTTTATGTGAAAGGTTTCCAAGCGAGCAGGCGGTTCACCTGATGTTAAGTGAATACCGCTATCCATGGACATCTGCTACACCCGAGGGTTGCAGATGCGTTGACAACCTTTTGAAAATTGAGCTGCGGCTACTACTCTCACCAGACGAAACGCGAAAGTATTATACTTCCACTTGACGCCGGTCTATTTTGAGGTCGTGGAGGACCCGGACGAGCCTGCCCATACGTGCAACAGCCGTGGCTATCATCCTAAGACTATTGTCAGATTTAATTACCACACAACATGTTATTCCGGTGGTGGTTCTTAAAAATAAATCCTAACTATATCCTTACTAATATTATAAAAGCGAAAGTTTGTATGTATGGATGGATGTTTGTTACTCTTTCACGCAAATACTACTGAATGGATTTTGATGAAACTTTACAATAATATAGTTTGTACATCAGAATAAGACATAGGCTATAATTTATATACATATTTTTACGTATATTTTTCATTCATGTAGCCGCGGGCAACAGCTAGTAAATAAATAAATTACATAGAGCAGATAAAAGAGACAAAAATAACAGGTGAGCTAGCCTTGAGTGGTTAATGCGACTGTATAGGCAGTAAACAAGTCTATAGGAGTCATCTCGAGAGTCACTCGATTGCTCCGGCCGCAGATTAATTAGAGGCCTGGGGGCAATTATTTCATCGCGATCCGCCGCGTCTCCGCGCAAATTAACAATGCCCTAAGCCACCTAACGAGCCCCGTGGTCGCGTTTCGCGTTATAAAGCGAGCGAAGTCGCTGAATACGGCTTTACGGTTTATACGTAGAGTAGGTAAGCGTTTACCTTCATCGTGCAATCATATTTACGGGTTCGGTCTTTGGTCATTAATAACTGGGGCACATAAGCCTTTTATATTCAATGGCTATGTACCAACAACAGGTAAATACTATACGTTTATGCATAATGCGACACATTTAACGGTGGCAGGGCCACGCAACAGTCTCGACTGTTGCACGAATGGGCAGGCCCGTCCGTGTAAGTACCACGACCTCACAGAAGACCGGCGTAAAGTGGAAGTATGACAAATACTTTCACGTTTCATCTGGTGAGTGAGGTAGCCGGAGCCCAATTTTAAAAAGGTTCTCAACGCATCTGTAACCCTCGGGTGTAGCAGATGTCCATGGGCGGCGGTATTCACTTACCATCGGGTGAACCGTCTGCTCGTTTGGCGAATTTTCACATAAACAAAACGACACATTTATACGACGAGCTGGTAAGAATAAACGTCATGCAAGTGCTGGTACGGATTGGTTCCGTGGTTGTGTATTGAGAATAGATGAAGTCAATAAAAATGATTTCCCATTTTTCCGTTCAATACTATTCTCAAAATAAAGTAAAGCTATGATTTGAAAGGTTATTGATTTTATTTATATGAGACGGTGGCAAGCGAGATGGCGGTTCAACTGATGTTAAGTGATATGCCCATGGACATTTGCAACACCTGTAGGGGTTAGGGGACGCGTTGCCACTGATAAACACACAACACGAATATTACCACACTATACCTGTCTATTCAATTTATAATTGATTACGGAGGAAGCAAATAACTAAACAAAAATATTCATTCTAATTTTGTATACTTTTCTATACCTGTACCACCGTGTGCATCCAATTATTACCTTACGTACTTCTTCCTATTTTTAATTACTGATGCCGTAAATTATTAAATAATTTAATAGTAACTTGGATTGATCATAATAACAACATAATTTATGTTAACTACGTGGGGAAGACACTGAAGTCTGTAACACAGTTCTAAACTATCGCAGGCTACAGGGCTTCTAGTCACTAATGATTACATGCTATTTACTTTTTTACACAGCCTCTAAAACTTATTATTATTATTATATGGAAACATCATTCTTACATTAAGCCTTCATTTATATAAATTACACATTGATATAAAGCTCATGATTGCTAAGCACTGTAAGAATGTATTGTTTTGTTAGGATGTGTGGCATTAGATTTACATGAAATCACACTAGAGTACAATTAATATGTAATAAACTAGCTGTTAACCGCGGCTTCGCTCGCAAGTTCAAAGGAAATTTAGCAATGAGTTTTTATTATAAACGGAATTGCTCGCAGATGGCAGAATTTTATCCTACTTACTTGACATTTATCGTTATATTTTGGACAATTGACATAATATCTTTATAAATTATAGCTTATATGTTATTCTGGTGTATAACCTATATTATTGTAAAGTTTCATTAAAATCCATTCAGTAGTTTTTGCGTGAAAGAGTAACAAACATACATACAAACTTTCGCGTTTATAATATTAGTAAGGATAAATTAAAATATACTAATTGTTAGTCGTTTATTTAATAGACGATAAATTTAATTTATAAATACAGATTGATGAATAGTTTGTACATAACAATTTCGGATGAGAATATTTTCTTATTTCATTCTTTTAGAGGGCGATTTTTCAGTATCGGTTTTCAGTTATTGAACGTAATTTTTTTAAGTATAAATATTAAAGTTCAATGAAACGAAAGTTATTTTCGTTACCGTCAAAAGCAAAATTTGTTAACTTTGCCAATTCCCTTAATCGGTTTAACAACTTAACTTTAATTAAAATCCAGACATAATAATTTAACATTGAAGAACGTTACTATTTCAACACGTTGCCTGCGACTTGAAAATATTTCATTTTACTTCTTTCATTACAACCTTCAATTAGACTTATTGTCAGTTAACTTAAAATATTACGCACGTGACTATCTATTTTTATAACGTCATCGTGGCAATATTTTTCGGCGTCGGAAACTGGATGTGCTGTCGCCTACTCAGTTGCAAATAAAAGAGGGATACACGCCAATCGAGTTCCTTCAACGTGACGGTGTATGCGGGCGCGCGAACGCGTCTAGGTTCCAGGCAGAGCTCCGGGCTCGGAGGCTGCGCGATCTGTCGATCAATAGGGCGTCCCCCGCTGCCATGCACCCCCTCCCTGACCCCTCCACCGCCCCTCCCTCCCCCACCGCACCCCTCCCGGGCCAGTACAGCGCCCGCAGCCACCCAGTTCGCTTAACGGGACGGCTTTTCCTCTCCTAATTACCAATCAAACCGCCCCAGTTACCGCCGGCCGCGCTGTGGACTGTATTCGGCAGCGAACCCTCCAGACTTTCCTGGAGATGGGATTTTGTTGAAGGTGAGTAGCTCTCTGACCCACACAGATAGTCGTTCCGCATCTGGCCGTTTTCCACGTGAAATTTGAGTTTGTAAAACGTCCTTACAACAGGGTAATGTTTTTCTAAAGTAACGGGCTACGCTGTTAAAAAAAAGTCAGCGGAGCTCCTGGGTGGGTTCTGGTGTACCCGCGAACTTCTGGTGTAGATTTGACGGTCCCGGAAAATGCAGGGGCGTATACTCTGTGTCAGCAAACATCTCCACTCGGACCAGTCAGCGGTTATTTCCGACTTAATTAAGCCTCGCGAAGATTTTTACAGCACACGCCATTCGTTCCGAGTTTATTCGTCTCCCCCACTTCCGTGGAGTGGCCGCATGACCTTTAAACGTTTGCCCAGCCTTGAGGTGTTTGTAAAAATGTCAAGTTCTCATGTCCGCATAAATCATTAAAAATTTAGAAGCACCGGAGCGTCGCGTCTTGTGCAACTAGCGAAGCTCCCGTATGAATGTACACGCGTTTTTTTTTAATTATGATATGATTTAATTTAACCATTATAACGCGTGTAAACGATGACTGGTTTTATGAGTTTTATTTATTTTCCTGTCTATTATGAGTGAAACCACGCTATTTTAAAAAGAACTTTTCTTGTTTTTCTTTTAAAACTTTTATTCGAAGAGAAATAGATGATATTTTTGTACGGACCGAATTGTGGGCTTCCGTCGGAGCGGTATTTGGTTATGTGTGCGTTTTGAATGTTCGAGAGATTTGTAGATCGCGGGGCCACCGCCCCGCCTAGCAGAAATAATTCGAGCATCCTTCCAATTGCATTGGGAGGCATGCGCGGGAGAATGGAGCGGTAGCTGCCTCAACACGAGCGAGGGCGGATCGGCAATACAATGAAACTGTATCATATCCGTAGTAGCTGACAGATCATTTAATTTCCCCACCACGCATCTCAATCAGCGCTAGAATTGGATTGTTAGAGAACATGAAATTTTATTACTAATTAATGTTGAAAATACTTTTTGTTCAATAAATTGTTGCCGTTAGGTAGTAATTATAACATTTGTTAGCACTTCATTAGGATTTTGTCGTAGTACCGTTGAAGCAGGCGGGCTCTCGAATAGAGACCACGTCACGGAAAACGTAGTGTCGGACCCTGCCAGGTGGGCCGATGGCACTAGAAAGGTCGCTGGTAGGGGCTGGATGAGGAAAGCGGAAGATCGTGCACTGTGGGGAGGCCTATGTAAAGTAGTGGACTGCAGAATGCTGATTGTATTGATTAGCATTAATCAATTGAATCTGCGATATTCATTTATGACTTATTAGATGTTAGTGATGCGCTAACTCAGTTCTTTTAGTGCGTCTGCTGACGAGGACATGCTAAATTCTGTTTAAATTCGATTCAATACAAAAAGATTCTTGCATTGCCCGGTTGTGATATCACTTTCAAGCAAATGAACGGGACAAGGGATAAAACGTCGTTTGGTTTAATTTTGAAATAAATACATTTATATAAACATTACCGATTCCGCATTAAAGTTACAAAATCTATATAAAAATATTTCTGGAACTATTATGTCATATACTTAGGGACCTCTTGTGTATAACCATGGACACTGGTGACAATTTACCGTATTTTAACCGCTCTTTTTTATACAAAAAGTATCTCTATCCGCAAATGAAAGAGCGGAATGAGTGATACAACACATATACAATTGAATATCTTCTAAAATGTCTTGCATTTCGACTACGTTTAACATTTTTAATCTGCAAAATTCACGCTGCCGTCAAAATACCACCATTCTTGAAGACAATGCACGCAAAAACTATCACGCTGAATTCCCTTGGCTCTTGTCTCTTGAGAAATAATTTCATGTCACTCAAGACTTTTCATTTAACAGAACGCTCAGATGTTCAACGCTGAAATATCACATGCTTTTTTTTATATTCCATTCGTATCCGCTGTTGAACGCATAAAGAAAGCTTTGTTTTATTCATGAAGGTAGGAAAGCGAACGGTTGGTTCACTAGAGCTGAATGATTATTGCCGCTAATGGACATTTACAGCACCTGTGTTGCGAACACGTTGGCAATCTTTGAATTGGTTTCTTCACTCACCAGACGAAGCGGAAGAGTATAATACTACCAATTCACATACTTTAATTGACACCAGCTATCCTGTTTGACTATACAGTACAAAATATATGTAGCATACCATTCCAAAATACGTAACAACATAGTAATGTATAAATAAATAACATAATAACATGAATAAAAAATAATTATTAAGACGCGTCTTGCGTCGGGCAGTCACGGAAAATCGTCGTGAATAGAATTCGTACAGGATGTCACTAATCATCATTGGTCAGTCAAATATCATAGTTCGTTGTGTCGAATTGATCGCCAAAATCGGTAACGTCAAACCCCGGAAATGACAAACGAAAATTGGCACCTTTTCAGGATTTCTGTTAACGTAATTTGTGAATGTTCGTTGTTAGTAGAGGCATTATTGTTTTTGAGAATTGCCACATAGAAATATAGATGTGACACGAAAAATGAAAAGCGATATGCTCGATTATATTATTTTTGGCATTATTTCTAAATTATGCACTAGTACATATCATAGATAGTATATTTTATATATTAGCTTTTAAATTTAAAAGTCTTAACTTGGCGTGATGCATTAACGAATGCCGCCCCATCCATCCTGCAGCACACGAAGGCGCGGCCCCCAAAGCGCGCGCATTCCGCCCCGTCACGGTGACAGCCATACTTTTTTCTCATCGGTCAAAGGTAACACGGTGCGCTCGGCCGCGCAGCTGCAACGATCCGTGGCGGCTCCCAGTCGCCGTGAAGCCGTCCGCTTAGTTAGACGGATGGCGCGCAGATAAATCACATCGCTTGCATTATATCTATAAATCACATCGACTTATTCCTTTATATGAATGTCCACATTAATTTACGCCGAAGTTCTATCGTACATTTGGCAAGCTCCGCTGCGGTTTAGCTATTTATAAGTCACATTTCGGGACAGTTGTTGTCATTATTTTGAAAATACGCGCCAGCATTCCTGTAATATCTATAATCAGTTGTAAAATAGGTAAGTGGATGTGTCATTAATTTGTTATATTAATATTATGCCTTTAAATTAACAAAGATTAATTCTTCTGTTATGTACAGATTTATTATATTTATAATATTTTATAATTAAATATACTAATAGTAACGCTTCCTTACATATTCTTTGCGCCTTGTTTAAATATAAGCCGAATTATTTTATTTCCTTTAATGTTTTTTGTCAATTACCTACAATTAAATCATTCCATTACAAAACCTTCTTTGTGCTTTCATAAAAATTACCTTTAATTTGCGCTTTATAGTGGCCATTGTTGGACATTTTTTTTTACACTTGATCTCGGATATTTCTGAATTAAATTTTTTGAATAATGAACGTATATATAGCGCTGATTAGATTTATTTTTAAAATAGCATACGTCGGTTGGTTTTGTTGTTCCGCTTATCAAGGATTGGCATTGGTCCAAAGTGCGTAACGTTAGAACTCGATTAACCGCAATTACATTTTTGCCTATTCGGCCTAACTAAAACTATGGATACTTTTTCAATATTTGTCACAGGTGTTTGTATGAATTCAGTTTAAAGTACAAATATGCTCCTATTCTATTTTATGGGTGTTATTTCATTGAATGTTCATTTCATGTGTTTGTTTGTTTGTTTGAATTTATGGCTCCGAATTTAGATAAACCTCACCGTATTCATGTAAAAATTTATTCGTCGTCAGTTCCTTATCGTTCTGCATATACTTCTTTAAGCAATTTCAAACGAATCCTGTTTTAAATTATTCGATAGTAGCTGCTGCCCGCGACTACGTCTGCGTAGCTGAAGGCGTATCACACAGACAGAAAGGCAGATATACATAGAAATATGTATATAAATTATAGCTTATGTCTTATTCTGATGTATAAGCTATATTATTGTAAAGTTTCATTAAAATCCATTCAGTAGTATTTGCATGAAAGAGTAACAAACAGCCATTCAAACATACAAACTTTCGCGATTATAATATTAGTAAACATTCTTTTATATATTACTAACCATCAAAGTAAATATTGCATACTTAAATAACTCTACTTTCATGATATGCCTTCTTTACGTAGGTGCCGTCTAGTATAGCGTCACTTCTATTTAATTCTGCCGTAAGATAAAAATTGTTGTGTTGCTGTTTTAAAGGTATAGTAACGGGCGATGCATCCATCTTACTCTTCAGGGGCGAGACTATAGGGAGAGAACATTCTCCTACTAAATTTTTAAATGTCCATGGTCTACAATGATCTTGTCTATGGTTTGTACCAACTGTCATTTTTTCCCGCTCTTCCTTTCGACGCAAATCAAGGACATATTAGATTTAAAAATAAACCATTCTTCTTACTTTCTCTCAAGTGACTTAAGTATTTACATGTTTATTTTAAATCTAATATGTCAGAACGTATTAATCGGACGGCTGACTGAGTAAATCAATTTCCGATTTGATAATGAACTTGTAAGTAAGCTCGTATCCATTTATCCTGCGTAGGGCGACCATCGCTAAGGAGGGTATAAACCATTAGTATTGTGTGAAGCACATTTTGACGTTTTGTGTTTTTTTTTTTGCTAATTATTAATAACCGTAATAGGATTGTATGTGACAACAGTACTAGCATTTCAGTTGAGTAAATGCTACGGCCATTTAATTACACTAGTGGGCATAGGATGCGTTATTTCGTTTCTAATAAAATTCTAAAATATAAGAGGACCCCTTTTAATCATGGATTGCTTTTTGTGTATTCTTCTTGTACGAAACCGATAGGATTTACCAAATTTAAATAAACAGTTAACGGTAGATACGTCGATGAGGATTGCAAACAGTTTTGTTGTTCGAAAATGTTATGCAAAAAGACAACCCGGAATTAAGATATAGGGTATGCAAATTGTTTTTTTTTTCTTAAAACGGAAAAACCTTGAATTTTTGCTGCTCCTACCATAAACTCTCGTCCTGGGTTGACTGGTACAGAAAGCCTTTGGGCATTAAGTTCGCCCTTTAATACCTTGTTTTACCTAAGGTTGTCAATAAATAAATAAATCACAAACAAATAAAGGCGGTCAAAGTTTCCTAGTTCAGCTAAGTTACTTGCTTCGAAAGCTTTTTAATATATTATCATTGTATGATGTAATAATCGTTAACTATTTATGACAATAACAGCGTTTAATTTCAATTAAACATTAAGTTTAGCATGAAACTAACATGTGGACCGAGGCTTTATACTAAAATACGTCCAAACTAATATATATTGCGACGTGGTCACCCTTACCCGGCGGCACTAATTTGTTTACATCCGCCGTCACTTCCACCAACATGGCTCTCTGATTCAATTTTCGCGTGATCCTCGCGCTTATGTAAATATGGGGTGGTCGGTGTATTCGCTTCCTTGCTACGTTTTATTTACGGAAACAATATGTACATAGTCGCTGCGTGACCGATAGCTTTGGTCTATTAAAAAAAAAAAAACAAATGCGCGCGAAAACCGCAATAATCACATTGATAGTGTCATTGGATTTTATCGGGGCGTGAAAAACTTAGATCCGTAGTCTCCTTGTATGAGTCCGGATGATATTTTTAGTATTTATGACATATCCATAGTTATCGATAAAATACCTTATATTTGTATCTTTAACATTTCTCTCTGTCATTGTGATAAAACCTAATATAATTTTTTTTTATATTTTATTAACATATCTTAAATTTGTTAAAATATAATAATTATAAGAACGTAAATGGAAGGATAACACACATAAGCTTGGAGAGCTACGGCTGTAGAATAAACACCACTTGTGCCCACGCAGTTTTGCAGACTGAAAAAAAAAAAAAACCAGTTCACTCCACTATCATAATTACTCGCAGTTGCCGCTCAAAGAGCTGGCGTTTCGCTCTCTGAAAGTTCGCGTTTGTCATTTTGCGGGCCCTGCGAGGGTCCGTGAAAGCGTTGCCGCTGAAGTCTTTGTGCTGGGAGCATTTTGCGGGGCACTTGTGTTTGAATTGCAGGACGTTTCGTTTGTACAGTGCCTCGATGTCAATAATGGCAGCTGAGGGACGCCACGTGCCATCGTTAACGAGGCCACCCTTAATTATTTCATCTCGTCCGATTCTACAGCTGTTGTTCGCTTAACGTAGCGACCGTTAATTGAAGATTGCTATAATTAGTCCTAATTAACTGGAGAGCGAATTCTTATAGATTTATAATACACCTTTGCAGACTTTCCTCGAAGAGACAATACGAATTTTATAAATTGAATTAAATGAATTTTGTTTTATTGGATATTTTTTTATTTGCTATTTAGTTTTGGCTTGTTTATGCTGAATGTAACATAAAATGTCGCGGTAGGACCACTCAACAGTCCGGTGAATGAGGTAGCCGAGGCACTTTATTTAAAGGTGGCAGCGCATTTCCAATCCTACGGGTGTTGCAAATACCCATGGGCGGTGGTTATCATTTAACATCAGGTGAACTGCCAGATCGTTTGCCACTTTCTCGCACAAAAAAAAAATACATTTTTACGGTGGTAGAGCCACGCAGCAGGTCCGTCCGGGTAAGTACCACAAACTCACAGAAGACCAGCGTAAAGTGGAACTATGACAAATACTTTCGCGTTTCGTCTGGTGAGTGAGGTAGCCGGAGCCCAATTTTATAAAGGTTGTCAACGCATCTGTAACCCTCGTGTGTAGCAGATGTCCAGGGGCGGCGGTATGCACTTACCATCAGGTGAACCGTCTGCTCGTTTGGCAATTTTTCACATAAAAAAATATATACTGTTTTACCCATGTACTGCACTCTCACTTTCTTACTCTAACTTATTTCCTATTCTCATCATCATTATATCATACTCATCAGTACCTCATCTTGTATATTATAATCTCAGTTGTCAACATCATCGTACCTAATATCCACCCGTGCTAGACGGCTATCTCAATATTGTAATTATTTTATTTTAAAAAGCCTTTGTCGTAGAGTCTCACAGTAGCACATTCTCGTACAGCTACGGCGTAGGCGGTTGCTACGACCTCCTTCGACGCAATTAAATATTTGCTTTTATCGGATATATATTTAGATATTTCCGTTTATGGTAAGGCTAAAGATGTGAATTAATTTCAATTGATACTTCTTAATGTAATAAAAAATTTAAATATTTCTTTTCACATTTATGTTTTGTTTGTCGTTTTCAACTAATACAAAATTCCAATGAGAAACATACTCGCACAGTCACTTTTTTGAGAGTTCTCGAGTCTTTAACCTTCCCCAATTCATTAAAGCTCAATATGCCAACGCTTTCATTTCAACGGATTTTTCATATCCAATCTAAGCAAAAAAGGAAAGGCACAAATTTAAATCTCTAATGAATCTGTCTTCCGATATGTTGATAACTTACACGCGTTCCAATGTAAACATCTGATGCTTTCTCACCAATTTCCTTAACATCGTGATGCCATTTATTCGCTTAATACACAACGCTGGGGGAAATGGGCTCTTAGCTCATCATTACACGAACCAATATAAGATTGCCCGGAAGCTTTCGGCAATTTACACTGCTTAATCAATATCGAGACGTCCGGATAGATATCAGTGATATAACACGAGTTAATTGACATGTTCGTATACATATAAATATTTACTACATCGACAATTACTGAATACGTTATCACTAAGCGTTAGGGCTCCGTACCCAAAGGGTAAAACGGGACCTAATGATATCTACTTCTTTCTCCTGCATATCGTATTTAGGTGGTATAGATTATGAATCATGTTGTTCATGTTATTGGCTAGTTGCTTTTCGACCGGCCTACCTGATCCAGAACGGTTATCATTGAGGTGGGAATCAAACGATTGACCTCGGGCGCTGAAGCCATTAGCTTAGCAATCCGACTCATTTCCATCGGGCTGATGTTAATTTTATATTAATTTTCTTTTATAAATACACTTAAGCTAGCATGTAGAGCGACAGCTTCATGAATGGACAGGTCCACCCGGGTGGAACTGACATACTTCTGCGTTTCGTCTGACGAGTGGGCCGGGATGTAGGTAGCCGGGGCCCACTTTTTTAAAAGGTGCCAATGCATCCGCAACCTTACGGGTGTTGCAAATGTTCATGTGTGGCGGTTATCACTTAACATCGGGTGAACCGCCAGCTCGCTTGCCAAATTTGAAAATAGAAAAACGTAACAAAAAAAGTTTAAAAACAAATCTGAGTTGAGTCGACAGGACGAATTTTAGTAGTTTTAAGAAATCTTGTATGCCTATTATATTCAATAGAACTAGCTTACAGAACATGTCATACTTTTGATTTAAATAAAAATAAATCGCGCAAGATATTCAAAAAACTAAAAGCGCTCGAGCACTTTCCTTAAACATAAAATGAGAAAGCCTTAAGCGGAAAAATACAAAATTAGGTACACTGTAATTATTATCGTTGTAATGGTCGTAATTGCCGATAATATTTGATGCTGGAAAGAATCTTTCAGATATAATTAAAACTCGGTTTATTTATAGATAAGTTGTTGAAGTACTTACATAATTAGTACAAACATTTTCGCGACGAAAATAAATCTGTAAAGGTCACACGTGACAATAAAAGGGCAAAAGTGCTGACCTTTTGTACTCTGACTTTTATATTTAACTATTTATTAAATAAATACTTTCTAGCTTCTATACAGCAGTCGATCAACCAACAAAGGTGACACAACATTGGGCCATCAGATCATCTTAAAAATCTAGGTTTTAAATATCACTCTTAAAACATAAATATGTATATATAATTAATTGATATGCAAACGGTAACAATACAATTCGTGCCAAGTGGCGATTCTAAGACCTTAAAAACATTACTAGGTGAAGCAAGTATAATGGGAAAAACTATTTCACAGGCAGGGCATTTTATGTTTCACCTTTCGCCCGTCTTCATTAAAAATAAATAACGTCTGTGGCTCAATATCCGTTGTCGTTGCCGCCCAGCAGCGGCCATTTTGAATTATTGATCACGTGACCGATCCGTCGAGGCTTCCCTTGCGTGCTTAATATAAACAGGTTTTCATATTTAATTGTAATGGACATTATAGTGCTTTTAACTGGACGATAAAGGAAATAGTGAGTTATAACGACTGTTAACATATTCAAATCACTACATGAATGTGTCACTAAACCAGAAATTTATCTCAACTGCACAGACCAATAGTGTAATTTTAAACAGAAGGATCAAACCTGTTTTTGAACCTATTAAAGAATATTGATCATTCAAGCGTGGAGCACATTACTCTGTGATAGATCAGTGTCTATGAATGAATGAATGAATGAATATACTTTATTGCACGCCAAAAATAAAACAAACAAAAATTAAAACTTAATATAGAAGTGATTGGTACAATGGGCGGCCTTATTACTAAGAGTGATTTCTTTCAGGCAACCTTTGGATGGACTAAAAATTTAATTTGGGAAATCAAGATGTGGGTTAACTAAATGAATGAAATAAATGAATACTTATCTACAATCATAATTAATATAAATAAGATATTTATAAATATGTAAGTAAATAAATAAATGTCTGTGCGCTGGTAAATTCTATATACTCGAGCAACCTGATTTTAAACCCCGGTACTTGCGCTAATGAAATTATTAATTGCAGTATCAAGTGCTGACAGCGCTGATGGGTAGGTAATCATCGTGAATATTAAAAAATAAATTTTACAGTAGGTAGTGGCGTGACACGGTGGACTACGCCCTAATACTCTATATAGACTGTTGTGGTAGGGCCACGCAACAGTTTTCACTGTTGCACGAATGGGTAGGTCCGTCCGGGTAAGTACCACGACCTCACAGAAGACCGGTGTAATGTAGAAGTGTTACACTTCTGCGTTTCGTCTGGTGAGTGAGGTAGTCGGGGCCCACTTTATTTAAAGGAAATGTATTTGCAACCCTTCGGTGTATATGACCATGAGCGGCGGTTATCACTTAACATCAGGTTAACCGCCAACTCTTTCGCCACTTTCTCTCATAAATAAAAATAGGGTAGACCTTGCCCAGCACGAGGAAAAATATAGACTGTCACTGTACTTTACTTCACAGATGTGGTACTCGATGTAAATTTTGGAGGGGGTCAGATAAAAGTTTGCTGAAGTCGAAATAAACATATCAAAATGAAAATGAAACCTTCACTACGACAAATGAATTCTAAAGTCTTCCATCTTCTATCCGCTAAGACAAGTCACAAGGACCTGAGCTTTTATTGCTACGTAAAGTAACTATTTAAATCTTTTGTAATATATCGTAAAGATAGAAGGGAAAGGTTACTCCTATATACAATATGTAAGAAGATAACTGAAACTACTGGAAAAATTCTAACAATTTTTCTAGATGACCCTTATATCCGTTTTTTTTAATTCAAAACGGGCCCGCAGTTTTGAATTTAAAAAAAAAGATTGCCTTCCCACCTGATATGTATACTTTATCTTCCATTTACATTTCCTATCGACGGAGTCACACATTTTTACCTTGTTGAATAGGATATACTGTAACTTTCTTCAGTCAAGAAAAAAGTAAAAAACACAATCTATTCCTATTTTAAGATATTATTTTCTTTAGATCTTGCAGAGATTACCTATGTATGCATAGATGTATAGTCTAATTTACTATTACTTTTAAGACCGTATACGTTTCTAATACAGACCTAATACTGTTTTCCAATTACGGCTGCGCGCTGGGAGAAACTTCATATTCTTTTCCTTTGAAGAAGAAACTTCATCTTGCGTTCTTTGATTAAAAATATTTTGAATAATCTAAGTAGTAGTGTGCTAAGTTATCGATGTACTCGATTACGTATTTTGTATCTACGTGCGTATAGGTAGTAAATTAAATTAATAAAAATTGACCTATCCGAGATATACGTTTTATATCATAGGGTAGGTCATCAATAAAAGTTACTTTTTGTTTATATTTTCTCTATTTGTAGATCGGTGGTTGGAAACACGAAATCCGACACACTTTAATTTCCGTCAAACCGTCAAAGAACAGCCTTGGCTGTCGGCTTTAGAAACATTATATTTATATTAATCATCATCATCCCTTATCCCACCTAGGTGGTGACGGCACAACATTTGAATCATGTTTTAACCCTGATGTCAACCCTCATTGGGAAACGAAATCCCACATCTGGAACAATTATCTGTGGGTCACATAAATTCTTGTCCCGTGTGGGAATCGATAGCACGATCCCCGACGCCGCAGCCAAAAGCTTTGCAAGCGCGCCACCGAGCCATCATAATTATAATAATGGAATAAATTATAATTATGATGACGACTCCCCACTAGATGGAGTGACGACCTGTGCAAATGTGCGGGAAGTCGATGGATGCAGGTGGCTCAGGATCGTACTTCGTGGCAGTCTATGGGGGAGGCCTATGTTCAGCAGTGGACTCAAACAGGCTGAAATGATGATGATGATGAATAAATTATTTAAGTATGACATTAAACAATTCTTTCTCAGGTGGCCCGTTTGCCGCCTTTTTCCATACGGATAAAATTACTTCTTGTTTAAAAAACGAATTGTGTTGTTACAGACGGAGGATGGACATCCGTCGGCCGACATGTGCCCTCGCCGTACTCCTGGTTTTCTGCTTGACAGAGCTTGCACAGTAAGTTGGCTTTTTGGGTTAGAATATGTGGTGGGGCCACGCAAGTCTTCTCTGTAACACGTAACGGCAGATCCGTCCGGGTTAGTACCACGAGTTCGCTGACAACCGGCGTGAAGTGGAAGTGTTATACTTCTGCGTTTCGTCTGTTGAGTGGGGTAGCCGGGGCCCACTTTATTAAAAGTTGGCAACGCATCTGCAGCCCTACGGGTGTTGCAAATGTCAATGGGTTAACATCAGGTGAAACGTCAGTTTGTTGCAGCCTTAACACACAAAAAAAAAAAACTAAAAGATTCCTTTCGTTTACATTTAATACGATATTTATACGAAATGACGTTTTTTTATATATGCCAGGATCTAGGATATACTTGAGAACTAATGCCAGAGCTTAATTAATTTACACACAACACTAAACTTAAAGAAAATATATACGTAGGCTCCTTCGGTCTAGTCGTAAATCTGGGGTTACCCAATCACTGAACCGAGGCAATAATAAATCAATTATGTGATTCCCTTATAATACGTAAAGACACACTCTAATTTTTATTCTACCTTAACAGCGATGAAAATAATAATCCATTAGACAAAAAAAATAAATTAACGAGAAGATGTTTCTCACTAACTGATATTAAATTTCATTGACCTAGTTTTTATTACATGCTCCGAAAAAAACTAGATTTCTTTTTGAAATAAGAATCACATTTCGGCATTTCGGCAAAGAGACGCCGAGCGTCAAGAGAAATACACAACTGGCACACAAGTATCTCTCTCGAAGCTGGTCAATTGTGAAAAATTATTTCATTTCGGTATATCCAAGCTCTTCTCGGTTTCGATTTCGACCCTCGAATGTAAAATTTACCTCGGGGCACTAAAAAATACTTGCAGAACGAAAAACCTCGTTCGGACCTCATTCATAATGAGTAGTTTAATTTTAAATTGACCTTTTCAGTAATTTATATTACTATTTCAGTCTTTTTATAATTTAACTTCGTTTAAAACTCTAAGACTAACGGACTAAAGTATAAAAACATTCAAGTTTATAATAAATGGTCAGTCTCATTACCATGGATAGTGGAGGGTATTTAAAACGTCTCGGAAATTAAAACTAAAATAAAAAAAATGTAGTTTTTATGTGTGATATTCGCGTAAGTTTAAAAAATAGTTGTGTAATAAATTTACTCATTACAAAAGTGTGTTGTAGTAAAATTAGGATTTTGCATTTGGTTGAAAATTTCGCGCCATTTATCACTCGACACTTCAGTAAGAAGTAATGGCGGTGGGTTGAAATAAACCATTTGCATGGTTTAATTTTATCCTTTTTTTTACTTTTATATTTGTAAATTACTTATATTACGTCTTATTTAAAGGTAATGATTATTTATTTCTTTATATGAAACTAATAAGATATAAACTGTAATAATAACTGTATAAATTTACGGTAAACATGTCAAAACTCCTAGAAAACTCCACACGAATACCATGTCACGCGGTATATCAACAGTGTCAAAATCATTTAAACGTCACCTATACAGAAAACCAGTGGCAAATATTCCACGCTTTTCATGCACGGCCATTATAAACCTTATCACATCCAAACAGAGAATATTTGACCGCATCCAGCTGTGCATCGCATTCCACGGCTGGCCATCCACAAAATTAATATGGGCGTCCCATCCTCATACGATTATAAGTTTTAGGTCCCCCACATTAGGTGTATTTTGCCATGCGATTGTGGACAAAGAAGCTTGACACAACAAATACCGATTCCTATCGTTGCAAAATAGTGTTTAATTTTATGACAGTTAATAGACGATCAGGTATTGGCGAAACTATTTGGCAAATTCTATACTCTCTACTCAACTCGATCTAAAAAACGTAAAATATCAACCTATAAATGTTCCACTGCTGGGCAAAGGCCTCTTCTGTAAAGAGGGTATCAGGGCATAGTCCACCACGCGGCCCCACTGCGGATTGGCGGACATCACATATTTTCGAAATGTTTTTTATTATTATTATTTCGAAAAAAATGCAATGTTTACTCACGATGTTTTCCTTCACCGCTGAGCACTGCTGAGTCACTCAATTTAAGCTCACAGCGAATACGTTAACATATGATAGAGGGGTAAATGAATTAATCCTACAGCTACTTGAAGCGTAGCAATAATGATTAATTCATTTCTACCTGGGCAGTTTGTATCTAAGTTTTGAATTTCGTTTCTTGTGCATTCAGCATCACATGTTATAAGACCACATCGAAGTTCAGTAAACCACTAATGAATCATTTTAATCGACAGAGCATAGCCCCCATATCTGTCTGTTCGGTTTCCAAAATATGTTTATTGTCCAAATACTTAATACGATTTTTATATTTATTGTTAAGTCTGAATCTTTAAGACTCCGCGTGAAGAACACACTGAAGAGTCGAAATCTTCAGCGACACATGTCGCTGAAGATTTCGTCTCTGATTGTGACAATAAACGTAAATTTTTTAAAGCCATTAAGTATTCTGAGGGGAAAAATTGTGTACACGATATAAATGGGAACTCTAAGTTTGATTGAGTTTCATTAATAAATTTCGGAGTGAAGAGTCTAAGACTATCAAAATCGCAAAGCTGCTTGTACGGTCAAAAGAACGATATGCACTTATCTAAAATTATCTCTCCGTCACTTCTAGTGCATGCGCTGTAAACCCGTTCTGCTTACTAGAAGTGTACAGGTATCCGAGCATTAAGAGATAATACATGAAGAGTGTCAGTTTATGTAATATCAGCGAGTTATGAGTGTAATCGAAACTTCCAGATGTTTATTATTTTACGGTGGTAGGGCCACGCAGCAGCCTCGGCTGTTGCACGAATGGGCAGGCCCGTCCGGGTAAGTACCACGACCTCACAGAAGACCGGCGTAAAGTGGAAGTATGACAAATACTTTCGCGTTTCGTCTGGTGAGTGAGGTAGCCGGAGCCCAATTTTCAAAAGGTTGTCAACGCATCTGTAACCCTCGAGTGTAGCAGATGTCCATGGGCGGCGGTATTCACTTAACATCAGGTGAACCGTCTGCTCGTTTGACAACTTTTCGCATAAAAAAAAAAAAAAAAAAAACATATCCAAAAAAAATACATATCATTTAAAATCATTTCGTTTAGGATTTTCACACTTCTTTACAGGAAAAAGTCTTCTGCTTATGTTCGGATGTCGTGTGGATTATTAGGGTTTCGTACCCAAAGATTAAAACGGGACCCTATATTAATACGGGAAGTAATGATCTGTGCAAATGTGCGGAAAGTGGATTTACGTAGGTGGTTTAGGAGCTTTGCTTTGCTGTCTACAGGGAACGCCTAAGTTCAGCAGTGGAATCCAACAGGCTGAAATAAGGATTACGATAAGGATACTAATTGAACTGTTCGAAAGTGTTCCAGTGTTGGGCAAAGACACGACACGTTTGTCAGACGCTACACTTCCTATTATTCTTCAATTAGTTTTAGTGATGCAGGTTCCATCGATATGCTTTCCTTCGCGCCGTCGCGACAAAGTAGCATTTGTAATTGCAATTAATAATTTCATTGGTGCCGTTTTGCCACTAATAGTGTAGTTACACGAGCACTTATTCGGTTACCTCACCGAGGCCTAAAACGTTTTGGTCCCGCCTCGACGAACAAATGAAAATGTATATTTCTTGGACTCGGCGCAGTTTACGTAGACGTCCTCGATTCACCCCATCGTCTTGTCTCTGCAGATGCATGAACGCGAAGATAAACTTCAGGGAGAAGGAGAAACAGATTCTGGACCAGATCCTCGGCCCTGGGCGGTACGACGCCCGCATCAGGCCCTCCGGCATAAACGGAACTGGTGAGTACCGAACCATCCCTTGGCATTATCTAGACTAATAATCAGCTATAACCGGAATCATCTTGCATCGATTACGCAGAAGTGATCGAAAAATACAAATGGAGGATATGGCATGTCACTAAAACGACGCCATCTTGTGTGGTTTTTGACAGATTGAATTTTTACTTCCGAATAGGCAACGTACGCTAAATGTGAATCAACAGATCTTATTAAGACTCAGAGATATTACAAAAAATTGACAAGTACATTTATTTGTTATGGCGGCAGTCATTTGTTTGTCACTTAAAAATAACTAAAATAGTGTCGACGTATTCGTGGTTAAATTTCATTTTGTTATAAAAAACTCACTTGTAAATAAATGAGAGCTTTTGAATTCGCGCACAGCTGTCACTGTTTTCAATGTAAATACAATTGTTCGAGGGCTTTCATTGTGTGAAAGTTTTAGCTGCAAGATCTACTTTAATTATAACGGTATGAGGATATTTTAATGAAAATGTAGACGTTGACTACGTGTGTTGTAAATGCCATTCTTTTTTTTTATAACCGTTGCAATTATGAAAATAATCACTGTTGTTAATGACCGATCGATGCAGATTAAAACATAATTCGTTGTAGTTATATATTTATTTGGACTCTTTTCTTTTCATTTACTTATTATATGTTACAAACTCTGTGTAGCGTTTCTCGTTTTAACAGTTGAGGCTAACACTATTTACTGGGAGGTCTGTAGTAATTTGAATAAAGTGATATGCGTCTTAAGTCACTTTATTTTCGACTGTACAAGTTATTATATGAAAAATTTCTCAAAAAGAAAAAAAAAACCGTGCTATCTCAATGTACTCAAGCAACCTGAGTTCGATATTTGGTACCGGCACCAATGGAATTGTTAATTTTAAGTTCCGAATTATCACGTGCTCAGCGGTGAAGGAAAACATCGTGAGGTAACTTATTTTCGAAATAATAACTGCTCATCAGTCTGACATATGTAGACTGTTCCTTTTTTACATTCCTTTTTTTATTTGAAAAATTTCTAGAAAATCAACAGGTCCCGTAGTGCTTTGTGCAGTTTGTCGAATTGCCAAAACTGATAACTAGATAAATAGTCGAAACGCATTTTGGGTTATTCGAGGACATTAATAATGTGCTACCTATAGTCGATAGGATGACCTGAATAGACTTGTGTAAATATTCGCTATGTACAACTGGCTAAAATTTGACATTTAGAAAAGGATGTGACCAATATGGCGGTATAAGCGCAATATGGTGGTATCAAATTAGGCACTATTGCGTAGTTCGGTTGGCGAAAGTATCGTAGCATTGTGTTCTTGAAAAAGATTATATTAATACCAGATCCCATTTTAACATTTGTTTGTATCTGGTTCGCAAACATTAAAATAATTATTTAATGACGACTCCGTGGCGCAGTTGCCAAAGTATTGGCTTCGGCGTCGGGGGTCGTGGGTTCGATTCCCACACGGGACAACTATTTGCGTGACCCACAGATAGTTGTTTCGCATCTGGATGTTTGACTGCGTGAAATATATGTTTGTTGAAACGTCATTACAACACAGGATAATATCATCCTAAAGTAATGGCAATATTTTTTTTTTTTTTAAATTTAACTTAAACCTGTCTTCTTTCGACTTCCTAAAATGACGGTTAAAGCTGCAGGCAGTTCCATTGTAGGCAACATCTTGCTAGAAACACTACGTCATATTCTTTCCACATAATAATGTCAATAAGTTTGCTTGTTTGAGATTAAAACTCACTTTCTTTTATTTACCTGTCTTTCCCGTGATTATACGACTAGATGCACTTCAAATATTTAAAAAAAAAAAAGAATATAAAAGCAAAAGTTATGCAAGAGAAGCTCTAATGATATATAGTGCCTTTGCAAGTGCTGTGCGAAAGTATGTGTATTGTTTTTGAAATAAATTTATTCATCATGATCAATGAATATTTTTTTTTAATTATTTTGTATTATAGATTTGTGTATGCCTCAACTGTTGTTAATGATAACTATATTATAGAATTGCAGTTTTATAATTTGTTGAAAGGGATCCGGAGTAAGTATAATACAGTGACTTTTGGTCTTTCTTTTCCCGCCCAAACGTTGATGACAGATAGAAAAAAATTTTTTTTCATTCCGTACTGTATTTCAACCTGAGTTCCAATTGAAGTCGTAAGGTATTGTGCAATATTTCGACAGATGGTCCAGCTGTAGTAAATATAAACCTGTTCGTCAGAAGTATTACCACCATAAGCGACATAAAGATGGTTAGTACATATCCAGGTGCCAAACGAAAAAGATAGGTAGACCTACGACATTCTTATAGCTTTGGGGACGCTGCCATCTGCGCGAGTTCATTTTCATTGTTGTTCTTGGAATGATTTTTTTTTAACTTGTTATATAATGTGCCAGTGCTGTTAAATTTACTAAAGAGGTTAAAATGAAAAAATGAACTACCGTATATTGGTGGCGAGACAACTCCTTTACCATGTGCTAGCATTATTAACACTAGTGACAGGAATTTAAGTGTTGGCAAAATGGTCCGTCCATAACAAAATTTCGATAATATTTCACCGCTATTTTTATGTATGTACAACGAAAATCATGATTGGCATTATAGTTGAGTGTGGCTCTATGGTTGTAACGAATTTTGTCACTATAGTTAATACCGAACGAAACAGTAGCAGAAATGTAGGAAAATAAATGTTACCCATTGTGTTATGATTTGCCTAAGCGACTATTTGAGCGTTCTCGAACTTTTAAGACGTAATACGTATTGCCAGTTACACGATTTCGAGAATTTTTCGACCATCCAAGGTCATGTATTGTAATTTTTAATTTGTTTTTACGCCTTAAAAGTTGAACAGAGTACTTACTCTCGAGAACACATGTTACGGCCTGGTGGTTTAAAAAAAATCTCTACCGCTCGAGTGCGGATGTGATATTGGTTTTTTAATTTATATTTTCCTTTTTTCATCTGTAAAGTTTTAGTTTATACAGATAAGAAAAATCCTTTATAATGGAATTAATTACATGAGCGAAAGTAATGTTATTTTTTAAATATATTTTTTGGTATAGCAACAGTCAATGTAAAGCTTACAAAAACTATTATCGAGTCAAATCGATCAGTGAAATGAAAAAAGCTGATCGATTTCAACACAAAAGATATAATAATAGCGAATCGGAACTAGCGAGGGACGCAACATTACTAATCTTTCAAATTAGTCAGCAGAAAGCTGTTACGGGACTGTTAAAAAATCGATTCGCCTATCGCGGCACGCCATTTAAACGATTTAATCTGTTTTGATTGGTGAATAATGGCGCGAAAATTAGGAATGAATCTGTCCACTTTTGAAATTCTGTTTTGTTGTTCATATTTTCCGAATATAAAATTGCAAATTATATATAAAAACCATTTAACCATTGAAGGAAATAAGAAATAGTTACTTTAAATTGGTATTATTTTAGTAAATTGAGAAAATCTAATATTGACGATTGTGCTTTACAAAATATTATGTAATATACATTTTCAAATACAATTTATTTTTTTCTTAAAAATCTTCCTGCATATTGATTTATGGACCCCCGGGAGCGTTTATAAGAAGATTTGTGATTTTCGATCGAAAGTTATGTTCAGTAATTAATCACAATGAACTAGTTTACATTCCAAAGAAAATAGTTGGGAGCTCTATTTTTTGATTACACTGATTATTTTGTCAGTGTTGTATTAAATGATAAGAATAATTAATTCAAATAGTAGTGACAGAAGTCGTGTGTCGAATAAGCAGTACAAAATGCTGGAGATCAAGAACAAAGTATGCCTGTATTATGTACTTCCACCCGCTGCAATATCAAATTCTTGTTATTTCACAGCCGTTCTCATTTCCGCTCGGAAACCAACGAGTCTATTTAGAACGTTGTTTTTCTGGATAACTGACCTTTAAGGTGTCTACACTAACACAAATTCCTTAAACAAGTCAAGTTTGTGTGTCACATTTACTTTTCTATTCCGAACTGATTTTCTTTTGCCCTCCCATCAGTGTATCGTGCGGCGTCAGTTGTTTTATTTACGTTTCGTTTCTGAACGTTCATTGGAGCCAACGTCTGCACAATTGTTTAGGGTGACAGATTAAAAAAAAATGTAACATAAGATTTTCAGGTTCAAGGTGAGTCGAGCGTACCAATCATTATTTTCAGAGTCAACACCGCGCGTACCATAGAGTGTGTTACTCCATTAGGGCTTAGTTATAATGTATAATGTTATATCAACCATATATTTTGCTTGGTACTTAGATGGGCCAGCCGTAGTGAGCGTCAATATATTTGTCAGGAGTATATCAAAAATCGATGACGTCACAATGGTAAGTCAACAAGTACCGACTGGGCCATGCATTTAGACTAAGTTACAAGTATGACGTTTTTCTTTTATCCTCTTTACGAAACGGCTGCGGTTTTCTTTTCCAACAAGTCAAATGAATGGGCAATTCCCTCCATTATTTTAGAACGGAGAGATTTACCCGATTTACGTTTAATGTTCGTTTTGATATTTACCTATATTTTTTGATTTATTTTCTTCACTTCTCCCTTTGGTGTTGACGACCAAAATCGTTTTTAGTCTCGCGCTTATCGGCGGTACAATTTGGCTCACGCGACTCGGGCTTGGCGGGTCGGGGTTGCTTCTTGACAACCGTTAGCAGTTCACCTCAGTCGATACTGTCCGATAGCTTTTTAATAAAAACGAACGAAACTTCTTTTGTTTTCATATGATTTCTCATTCTTACTTTTAGACTGCCTGCTTTTTACGATCTGACAGGGCTTCCGATAGTGATGTGGGAATGATTCTCGTACCTTGCTTTTGGTTTATGAAACTAGACGTTGTTTTATCTAAATTGCTCGGCTCCATATCATCTGATGTATTGGCATCTGACATTAACTCATCTATTTGCGTACCGTTGTCACGATCGGTAGGAGTTTAGATTAGATCTAGATAGCGACTTAGTTAGGGCGTAATTTTTCTTTTCATCAAGCGGTTCCATGATTAAAAGAGATATGTTTTTTTCTCACCAAGGCGATGCGCCAACGTTTGTGCGCGTCAACATGTTTCTACGATCCATCAGCAAAATAGATGATTACAAAATGGTGAGTGGGCTGCACATAACCGATTAAGAGACAGATGTATCAGATGACATTTTTATTATAAACGAAAGTTTGTGTTTTTCCTTTTCCGCTGTTCCTCGATTGACTGTAGCCTTGAATTGTGAATGAAACTTTGTTTATAATAAAATTGGACATTCCGATCAAGTGGATATCTGGCAAAACTTGCACTGCTAAATATTCTCAAGCTATCGTAAATGTGTTTGTGGTAATTTTTGTTTCGTTCGTTTTTTGTTTTGTTTCAATTTGTTAGTTATTTTTTGTTTTTTTTTATGTTTCGTTTTGTTTGCGTTTTTCTAACACGACTAACCGTCAGAGTCCATTTCTCCGTCCACTTTTAAAGGGAGAAACTTTCGCAACGCATCTAAGAGTGGTATAAAGCGGTGCGGTGCCGCGGCGCCTCTTCTACCATGCGAATTGTAAGATCACTCGTCGTCGTTTCGAAACTACCGTCAAAGTGGTCTCGACTATTGGCCTTTAACTTGTTTTGTTTATTTTATTTTTCTTGTTTATTTTCCATGCAACCTGACAGGGGTTGTTGTGTTATATTTTCGTTTCAAAAAACCTCCACTTTAAGACGATCGTCTCATGTAAAAACACCTGATGGATTATTGGCATACATAGATAGCACGAAATTATCACTTATTAGGGCTTCAGTATCGACAGCACTACCGACTATATGATTAATACCTTTCACGCGAATCGCTTAGGCACGGTCGGTCGCAGTAACTCCACCGATATCCGTATATCCGTATATCCGTATACCTTCAAGAGGATCGCAAACGGCTACGGACAGAGCACGCTTCATAGAATAGGCGTTTCGGGTAACACGCGGCCCGCACCCGCCACCATCTCATCTTCCTTTTCCGTTCACGTATTTCCGTTTATGGTTTGGGGAACGTGCTTCCTTTTCTGTCACGCATTAATTTCTGACAGTTTGAGTTTGAGTTTTTTTTTTGTTCTTGTTTTTCAATCAGTGGATTTATAAAAACTATTTTGGTCGTGTACGTTGACTGTATGGACATTGTCGATATTGTCTTGTTCATGTGAATTTGTGTTGTGTACAAATTTAATAACGGGACGTAACGTCGCGTCCGCACTCGGCTTGGCGCTTGGCGGTGGCTGCCCACCCGACCGCAATATGTGACCCTCGCCCTGACGCTAGTAGTAGCCCTAGTTGTAACCAGACGTCTGCATGAAGGTACCAAAGCATTCCACCGACGAATGCGCCACGGTGAGTTGTGGGTTTGTGCTTAGCACACTAGATGGTGACTATTACGCACCAGCGAGCATGCGAGCGCTTTATCGATGACCCCCCGCATCGATGTCTCGAATCAACGTTAGCTTTTGGAATCCCTTGCATCGGGTGGTCGTTCTACGAGTACAGTCGCTAAGTTTTTTAGATCATACCGACACCTGAAATATAGGGCTGCGCACATAATTTAATGACGATCGACATCGATATTTGAGCACAAAAGCCGCTAATCATTTCACTACTCGATTATCAATAGACCCCGCCCCTGGCACCATTCCAAATTTCGTAAGCAATCGTTTCGATAATGAACCTGTCAGCATCCATCACTGTCTTCCTGCTCGATGCTTCGTCATCAGTTTTGTGGTTGTTAAAAAAACTACTAGTTTCAATATTAAAGCGAGTAATGGCACTAAAGTTTTTATTACCGAAAATAAATTCCTTTTACTTCAGTCTCATAAAACATTATTGTAGTTTTGGCTATTCAATTGACTGCGTCAATATTTTAATAACAAAGATCCATAAAATTATTCGTAAAAAAAATATGACATCTTTGTTCACAAAGTCTAAGATCTAGGAAGTTATAGAAAAGTTTTATAATATTGATTTGTTCAATCTCGGACCATCGCATTAAAGTTTCACCAGCAAGGATTTTCATATAAAGATTATACATGATGTTCATGCGGGTTCATGTAAATGGATTTTGCCTCCAATGGATGCAATTGCATAGCGCAACCCGCTCCAAAAGCTAATTGCATTGAATCGAGGTTTCGAGGGCACTTGCTTGTTAATCTGTGTTACGGTAATTCATTTGACTTGCTCCACTGATGTCGAGGGATCGATGAGACATTTTCCTTGATGTCGCAATACGATATTAAAAAGTCACGCAGAACCTTCGACAACACATTAGATGTTAGACCTAAGCTTTTGTTATACCTGATTAGATAGATATCTTCAATATAAGTTTCGATTTATACACTTGTTTCAAAATTTAAAATATGACTCAATGATATTTAAAAGCAATTAATATTAATCCTTTGTCCATTCTCGATCACTGGCTTTGTTTAATATAACTATCATGGCCGATGACGGCGTATATGATGTTTAAAAAGAAAGCTAAATGTAAAATATCCAGAAATGAATTTTAATGGCTTTTTAGAGTTTTCGCTAAAAAAGCTTTGTGATTTAACTAACTAAGAGACCAAGAATAATGTAGAGGATGAATTTAGTCTGTAGTGGTGGGACGTTGCCAAATTCTACATCTATTACATGAAGGAGAATGACAAAAGATTGGTTTTGCTTTGAAATTTGTTTGACGTCCCTAAAACTGGTTAAAAGCAATAATTTATAGTGTGTTTTCACGTTTTCAGGAATACTCTGTACAATTGACATTCAGGGAACAATGGTTAGACGAAAGGCTCAAGTTCAACAACTTAGGAGGTAAGCACACCTTTCAATGATAAACTAACGTATTAAAACAATTATAAATACATATAATATAGTTGTTCACATAAATAATAAATGTATAATCGTACGTAATTTAACTAAAATAAGTTGTTATTAACGGGAAGAATACATATCCCTCTTTTATAAAAATGAAACAAGTCTTTTTCAATATAGAAATCGATAACAGAACGAAGGTTTATATTTATTAACTTTAATTTATAATTTAATAATTTTGATAAGCAAGCGTTGATCAAAATCGACGATTATTTCATGAACAGTTATTTTGCCTGTTGTTTGTCTGATTTTTTTAAAATGATAATAAGAAATCATATAACCTAAACAGAAATTTCCTTCTTGACTTTGGAACTTTATGTATAATCGTAAATATTTCTAAATGCAAATTAACAAAACATTCAGATGATCGTTTAAGCATTAATTATACACGTTCAGTTCTAATAAAGGTAAACAAATTTTAACGCAACGTTAAAATGCAGGCGAATGAGAATGCACGTTTGACGAAGAACATTCAGAAACATGTATCACCGTCCACAGGGCGCCTCAAGTACCTGACGCTGACCGAAGCCAACAGGGTGTGGATGCCGGATCTCTTCTTCTCCAACGAGAAGGAGGGCCACTTCCACAACATCATCATGCCAAACGTGTACATCCGCATCTTCCCCAACGGGAACGTCTTGTACAGCATCCGGATCTCGCTGACGCTCTCCTGCCCCATGAACCTGAAGCTGTACCCCCTGGATAAGCAGACCTGCTCCCTGAGAATGGCCAGTTGTGAGTATCCGACAGAAACTTTTATTGGAAGGTGTCCGTCATGTTCCGACGGACCTTTCAATAAAACTGTTATCGACTTTACTCCGACATTTTGGAATGTTTTACAGCATTCATTCTCACGCTTAAAAAAGTGTTTAATTAATTAATTAATTTATTTATTTATATAATCTTAATAACAATATTTTATATAGAGATCTGTTTGATCTTACTCGTGTTCGAAACTTTTGAAATTTATTAAATCAAATTAAATGCAATGAAATGGAAAAGAAAACAAGAAAATTGTATATTTCTAATATATAAAATTCTCGTGTGTGTTTGTAATTGAACTCCTCTGAAACGGCTCGACAGATTTTGGTTGTGGTCCACCCCAAACATTTTTTAATTTATATGGCAAAACAAATATTATTCATATACAAATCGTATAAAACCGGGTCCTTGGAAAGTTTACCGTAATTATGGCCAAATCTTAGATCGATTGCTTTCATTTTTTTTCTTTAAACATACGGTACAAATTGCATCTGAGAATCACTAGACATTCAACCTGAACCAAGATGTCTATCATGTTTCGCGTTACAGTAGAGGATCCTACACGTTATACGAATTGGACACTTCCTTTCCTAGCACACCTATTGTAAAAATAGCAGTCTCGATGCAAAATTAAATAATAGCTCCAATCATCTTCTGTTAGTTGTGAATGTGTAGAGGACAATAATTTGCACATATGACGCCATAAAGGAAGTTGTATTCGATCAATCACTCATTCAACCTGATGCAAATTAAATTCAATGCAAGACTGTTTGTAGTTTCAGCAGGGAGGTTGCTTATGTCCGATAGTGTTCATGCATATAATGCCCCATAGGCAAGCAAAGCGTTTAAGAAATCAATAATATTTTGAAACAAAGTGCGGTCACATGCTATACTTAACTGGATCAAAAAACTGAAAAGAGAAACGATAAATCCATTAGATGCATGTCAAAAATTAAATCTAAAGAAAGATCTTTTAGCAGCGAATACCAAAAGTAGTCTTTATTTACACTCGCAACAATAGATTTAAAGATCCAACCTATTTTATGAGACGATTAAATAAGCAAACCATCGACCTTGAGTTACTTAAAAATGTGTTTCGGTATTTCATAGACAGAAAACAAAGTATGGTAGCGTTGGTATTTCGGGAACCTGCGGTAATTTCGGTCGCTACAAAATAGTTCGACATTGTAGTATTTTTACACGCTACGAATATAGTTACCCCTGTTTATGTTTGCGAAACCCAACTATCCCACGTTCAAATATACGGATGGCGGTACAACAACGACGTTGAGTTGAACAATTCATCGTTATCGACTGACAATGGCGCGCAACGTCGAGGCAGTATGAAAAACTATGATTCGTTGTTACCGCATCTATATTACGGATTGTTAGTCTTACACGAAAAAGGAGAAAACATAGATTTTTTTATTTCAGAAACATTTCGAACACGTAATCAGTCTGACTATTCCACTTCATCTTGCAAATTCGACTCGGCGAATTTCCTCGTACCGAATACAGTCACTTAAACAATTCGCAATGAAGACACCCACCCGCAGTAGAACCAATGGTAATCGATATAGCCCCGAAGCTTAGTATGCTGAAGACATCCGCAGTAGAATAAAAGTTAGAGGCTCAGTAAGCTGAAGTGGTAATGACCCATATAGCTCGTAGAATCGATAACCGATGGGGAAGAAACGTTTTCGAATGGTAGCCTTGTATTGGCCATTGTAATGTAGGACGACCCCCCACTGGATGAACTGACGACCTATGCAAGTGTGCGCGAAGTCGATGGAAGCATGTAGCTCTGGAGCCGTGCCTCGCGGTCTGTGTGGGCCTATGTTCAGCAGTGGGCTCAATCAGGCTGAAATGTTGTTGATGATGGTGTAGAAACCCTAAGCGGGGTGATTGTAATATAGATGTGTCACCCTCCTGGGTGATCGACATGGCTTATGGGATAATCCGCGAAACAACATTATTTCGTTTGACAGAAATATTTTGTTTTTCGTTTGCGGTTTCACCACGACTTTTTTTATGTGAAAAGTTGCCTAGCGAGCAGGTAGTTCACCTGATGTTAAGTGAATACCACCGCCCATGGACATCTGCCACACCCGAGGGTTTGCAGATGCGTTGACAACCTTTTGAAAATTGGGATCCGGCTACCTCACCCACCAGACGAAACGCGGAAGTATTATACTTCCACTTTACGCCGCTCTTCTGTGAGGCCGTGGTATTTATCCGGATGAGCCTGCCCATTCGTGCAACACCCGAGGCTGCTGCGTGGCCCTACCACCGTCAAAACGTTCTCCTTGACACATAATTAATTGGCTTAATACATAAATTCCGTTAAATAGATAATTTACGAAAGCGTATCGCTCGCAGACGGCTGGACTACAGACGACCTGGTGTTCCTGTGGAAGGAAGGGGACCCCGTGCAGGTCGTGAAAAACCTCCACCTGCCACGCTTCACGCTGGAGAAGTTCTTGACAGACTACTGCAACAGCAAAACTAACACTGGTAATTTAAGTCCGGTAGCCAAACATAGACACAAACAAACATAAACATATACGGTTTTTTCTTTCTTCTTGTTAAATGTGAAAAAGTGGCAAACGCGCTGCCGGTTCACCTGATGTTAAGTTATAACCGCCGCCCATGGACATTTGCGACACCAGTAGGGTTGGTGTATATATTATGATAGTTGTTCAAAGATTCATGACTATCATTATATTGACTGGTTACAAGATATAGTTTGTCTAAATCTCGTATTATTTTTATTTCAATTTAAGATTATACAGTAACTATCATTAATATTAAGTTACAGTTAAAATCCTAATATGAGCTTCATAGGCATTTATGTTCCAATGGTAGTAACTAACACTGGATGCTATTCCCTTTTGTCATCTGATAACTCTTCAACAATCAAGTCTTCCAGAATCATAAAATAACCTTGTTTGATTTGATTACTTAATGTCTCTTTCTTTTTTTTCTATCATTATCTATATATCCATCTTTTTTATTATTAGGATAGGCTCTTGAACAGCGTTGTTTTCGTCGAATAGTTTTATTATAAAGGAAACCGAACTGCATTCTATATGTGCTCGTTAAATACACACTTGATTTGTAATATACATACATAAAATAAGCTTAAACTAAACTACCACGTGCGTTTCTTTAAAGGAGTAATAAATAGGTTGGTACTAAACTAGTATTTGCGTATATAGTCACAGAATAACTATCATTGTAGGTGTAGAAGAAATCTTGAATGGAGCTTATTACTAAAATTATGAAAATCGTATATAGAACAAGATTTAACGTAGAAATTTTCTGACACAGCTAGATTGTGAAATTTATTTTGTTACATTTAGTTGCGTCTGTTTTTTGTCTGCCCTGCTGTCCGTCGAACATTTATTCGTGGATAGATTTCAAAACAGACTTCAATTGAAACGGATAGCAGTGGTATGTGTAAAGTGCTCTTTTAACATGATTCAAACCACAAAGCAGCTTATCTATCTGTAACAAATTAGTTCAGTACACTTGTTGGTTTTTCTTCTACAAATTATTTAACAGCGTTTGTTATAAATTCACGATGTCCCAAGGGCCGATCCAGCTTTGGTGCCGGGGGGCGGTCACATAGTCAGCGGTCAAGTGATAAGAAGTTATAATTTAATTTTATAATCATAGATACAAGTAAAAAGTAGGTATTTTTAACCGACTTCAAAAAGAAGGAGATTATCAATTCGGATGTTTATATTTTTTATGTATATTATGGCATAGCTTCGTCATATATAGACGGATTTGCAAAATTCTTTTTTTGTTTGAAAGGGTTTCATTTCGAAATGATCCCATATAAATTTCATACAGATTAGATGATGATTTTCGGAGATAGCAACGGAACTCTTCGAAATATGACAGGAAATCAACCGTGTTTGCTGCTATCTCATAAATATGCATTGTTTTGCGTGTAACGATTTGTAATAGTTACGTACATAATTTGAAGTGGGTCCTTTTTTTGTTAAAAAACTTTTCATATATACAGCGTGTCGTTACAACCGCGACAATAAATGAACACACGTCTAACGCTACTTGCTAATAATCATAAAAAATATATATAGCGTAAAAAAAAACCATAATTAAAAAAAAATATTTTTCAAATAAACTAATTAAATAAGAAATAAAAAAAATTTGTAACATCCTATACAACTACAAATGACTTATTCATACATTCAGAGACTTTTTCATTCGTTGCCACAGCGTAGCATTACAAATCTCTCCTTCTAACAGTATGTTTTATCTCTTTTTAATTTATTCAACCCATTAAACTAAAACGTAAAGTTCATTTGTAAAGGTCACAAAGCATATGAATGGGTTGAATGAATTTAAAAGAGACAAAACATACTGTTAGAAGGAAAGGCTTGTAATACGACGCTGTAGCGCGAGTTGTATAGGATGTTACAAATTTTGTTTCTTTTTTACTTAATTAGTTTGTTTGAAAATATTTTTTTTTAATTATGGGTTTTTTTAACGTTAATATTTTTTTATGATTATTGTAAAGTAGCGTTAGACGTGTGTCCATTTATTGTCGCGATGGTAACGACACGCTGTATAGTAAAAAAAATAGATTCTTTAAGCGCTCGTTCCTGAATAGTGCATTTGGAATCATACTAAAATTAAAAAAAAAAAAAACTACGTTTAAAAAAAACCGACTTCGAAAACCAAACGGTACAAAATAACTTAATAAACATTTAATTTAATACATTAATTAGTATTTTTTTAAGTAGCTATTGGTAGGCTTACTTATTTTTGAATTTTTTTTTTATTTATTTCTTCGTTACCAGATTTTATGTAGTCGTATTGGTTATAATATTTTTCAGTTTCTCTACTCCGCACGCATATGACTACCTTCCAGCTCCATCATTAGATCAGACCCTGGTAAAAAGCTTAAAATAAAGTACTGGCCAAGACGAATCAAACGAGCCGAAACTCGATCTGGTTGAGTCGTTTCATTACAGAGTGGTCATAGGAACCTCACAGAATAGCCTCGTAGACCTCATAGAAGATCGGCGTAAAGTATTTTTTTTTTTAATAATTATTAGGCTGTCTTTGATTTTTCGCTAAAACGAATACAGTAAAAATATTATTTTGAAAATTGTCCTGTTTGATGCCGTTAATGTGTCCGTCAGTATAAATATTTTTAACATTCAAAGTCAAAGTCAAAGTATCTTTATTCAAAATAGGCTTAATTTAAGCTCTTATTGAAAGTCAACAAAAAACCTACCACCGGTTCACTAAACTAGACGTGTACAGAAAAGAACCCGCAAGAAACTCTGCGGTCTTGTTCTTTTTGTAATTTTTTTTTGGGACATTAACTTAGCTTATAGTAGTTAGCCAATCGAAATTAACAGACAAGTTTGCAGCTGAGAACGTGTGAAAAATACCCCAAAACTTCTGCCGCCCAGGTGAATACAGCTGTCTGAAGGTAGACCTGCTGTTCAAAATCTGCGGTCTTGTTCTTTTTGTAATTTTTTTTTTTGGGCTTAGCGAGTTAGCCAATCGAAATTACAAGTTTAGCTGAGAACGTGTGAAAAATACCCCAAAACTTCTGCCGCCCAGGTGAATACAGCTGTCTGAAGGTAGACCTGCTGTTCAAGCGCGAGTTCAGCTACTACCTCATCCAGATCTACATCCCATGCTGCATGCTCGTCATCGTGTCCTGGGTGTCCTTCTGGCTGGACCAGGGTGCAGTGCCCGCCAGAGTGTCTTTGGGTAGGTCTTTAATGATCTGTTCACTTTAGCAGTTGATTAAAAAAATGACAATTCATAAGCGTTCTTTATCACTGTTATATCCTGGCATGTGCAGTGATCATAAAGTAAGTTCGCACGTGTTTGCCAATCGGAACCACTACATTTTTTACGTAAAAAGTTGGCGAGCGACCAGGCGGTTCACCTGATGTTGAATAACTACCGCCGCCGATGGACATAGGAAACACCTGATGAAACCATTTAAAAGTGGGCTCCGACTACCTCACTCACCAGACGAGACGCGAAATTCTAACACTTGCACTTCGCGCCGGTGAGACCGCGGCCTTTCCCCGAACGAGCCTGCCTATTCCTGCAACAGAGGCGAGCGCGAACCACGGTGACACTGCCATTCCCGCCCCCCAGGGGTGACAACGCTGCTGACGATGGCAACACAGTCGTCCGGCATAAACGCCTCCCTGCCGCCCGTGTCGTACACGAAGGCGATCGACGTGTGGACGGGCGTCTGCCTGACGTTCGTGTTCGGGGCGCTGCTAGAGTTCGCGTTGGTGAACTACGCCTCCCGCTCGGACATGCACCGCGAGAACCTGAAGAAGACGCGCCGCGAGATGGAGGCGGCCGTCTCGATGGACGCCGCCTCCGACCTGCTCGACACCGACAGCAACGCCACCTTCGCTATGGTGAGCTCGAAGTCATACCGCCATGGCTAAAGTCCTCGGAGACCTTGCTAAGTGATTGGCGCTTGTGATTTCAGCTCATAGTGTTGATTGTATTGCTACCAACATCTCTAGGGCCATAGCATCAGATCATATAGTGTTGATCGATACCACCAACGTCTCCTAGGACAATAGCATCAGATCATATAGTGTTGATTCTATTGCCACTTGCATCTCTAGGGCCATAGTATCAGCTCATATAATGTTGATCGTATTGCTGCAAATATCTACAGGGCCATAGCATCCGCTCATATAGTTTTAATTGTGTTGCCACTTACGTCTTTAGGGCCATCAATAAAGTCGACCCATCACCATATTCTCAGTGATAGGTGTCGGTGTGCCTTCGAAACGGTGTTGTGTACTTTAGTTTTAGTATGAGTTATACTGCAGCTCTTATCCCACCTATCGGTCGGCTCAACATTCTAATCAGGAGTTTTGGCTAAGCTTTTTACGACCGGGTTCCTTGGGAATAAACAGCTAGATAACCCCGGGTATCATGGTTCTAAAACTTAACTAACTTATATAATGTAAAGCGTTTACGTTTATATTATTGACACTAACTAGAAAGTATAAAATACTCATATTTTTAACACTCACTGAAAGGTACAGTATGAAAGGTGCTTATAATAAATTAATCCATAAGCACCTACTTAATGGAAACCTTTTGTTTTCCCCATTCCCATTGAGAGTATACATTGATTGGGAATTGTAACTTCATTGATTTCAAGTGGCCTTTACATTCTGTTGAAGTCTTTTTAATAGACTTTGTAAAAAGATTCTTTTCAATATTTCACTTTGTTTACCGTACAGACAACTTCTAAGTGTGCATCGAGACTCCCATTTATAACAAGCCGATCCATATTGCCTCATCATATTTTCGTTTATTGTTTTCTTGATTTTACGCGACTATTATACATATTAAATGAAACTAGTTTACGGATTTTATCGCGTTTTTTATTTTGATTTGAACTCCCGACGTTTCGAACCCATTCCAGCGTTCATGGTCACGGGACAGACCCAAATAATAAAATAGTTTCGTATTAAAATTTCATAAAAAAAATAGTTTCATTTAATATATTTTCGTTTGATATAAATTTGGTAAGAAAGAAATAACGTTATGTGTTTCTCTTGATATCATCGTACAAAAAATAGAACTGCGATGACCTATATCGCCATAATTTTCATAATGTCAACTTGAAATTGCGTGGTTCAATCTGGTGTTCGGTACTTTATCTACTCGCACGAGCGAGCCTGTTGCTAAGTGATAGCCACCACACATGACGCTCACGAGGAGTTGCAACGGGCTAGCGGGCATTTTGGTGTTCAGTGAAACCCGCCGCCCTAGGACATTTGCAACACCCGTAGGGTTGCAGACGCGTTGCCACAACTTAATAGAGTGGGCCCCGGCCTCGCCGGGCGAAACGCAGAAGTGTAACACTTCCACTTCACGCCGGTCTTCCGTGGCACTTGCCGGAGGGGGCTGCCCGTCTGTGCAACAGCGACCGCGCGGCGCTACCACAGCCGTGGTGGCAGTCGCCGGCCGCCGTCCTCCCTGACTGGTCTGCAACCGACAGAAGCCGCTCATGCGCGGCGGCGTCGTCGACTCGAAGATTCGCCAGTGCGAGATCCACATCAGCAACAAGCGCAAGAACTGCTGCCGCCTGTGGATGTCCAAGTTCCCGACCCGCTCCAAGCGGATAGACGTGATCTCGCGGATCACCTTCCCGCTCGTGTTCGCGCTCTTCAACTTGGCCTACTGGTGAGCGTGATACACTTATGACACTTATGACACACCGGCCTTTCATATCTGAATTCTGTTGAGTCATGTGGGTGTTCCGGCTAATAAATTAGGGCTGTGGCTATCTATTTTCATATTATTTTTGTAAGAAGGTGGCAAGCGAGCTGGCAGTTCACCTGATGTTCAGTGATAACAACCGCCCATGGACATTTGCAACACCCAGTGTGAGTTACAAAAACTTCTTCTGTGATGTTGTGGTACTTCCCCGGAGACACCTGCCCATTCATGCAACAGCGGAGACTGTTGCGTGGCCCCGGAGCGGGAAATTCACATATTTTATCTTCGATAATTAAGTTAATTATCATGTTTGTGTGAAAATAGTAGCAAAGGCGGTTTGCCGAATTGAAATTACGTAGATTTTATGGTTGAATATTGAAGGAGAATCGAATCACCTGATGTTAAGTAATAACCGCCGCCCATTGACATGTGCTCATCCGTAATTGCCGTTGCATTGTTACCTTTTGATAAAGTGGGCCCCGGCACTTAGCAAACGAGACGCAGAAGTACAACACTTCCACTTCACGCCGGTATACCGTGAGCTCGCGGCACTCACCCGGACGGAGCTACCCGTTCGCTCAACAGCGAAGACTGTCACCCGGTCCTAAGCTCACAAGAGGTTCACCTACACGAGCGGTCCGCGCAGGTCCACCTACCTGTTCCGCGACGAGGACGAGGAGAAGTGATTCTCGCGCGAAGCGTCGGGCGCGCCGCAGCGGGCGCGGCTGGCGGTGGCCGTGCTGGCGCCGTACGTGCTGTTCGCGATCGCCTACCTCGCCTGCCTGCGCACGCGCACGCGCACGCCCCCCCTCGCCCGCCCGCGCCGGTGACCCGTCGCGCTCTAAGCGCCCACCCCACGCTCCCCTCTCCCCTCTCCCCCCTCCTCATGCTCGCTTCTTGCAGCCGATTGTCATTGCGTTCTGATACTGTCGGTGACACATCGCGCTCCAATCGCCCACCCCACACTCCCCTATTAGGCTCATCCTCGCTTCGTGAAACCTCATTGTCATTGCTCTAATACTGTCGGTGACCAGTCGTGCTCTTAACGCCCAACCCAAGCCCTCCTCTCTATCCCCTCTTTCTCATTTCGTGAAGCCTCATTGCTATTGCGTTCTAATAATGTCGGTGACCTATCGCGCTCTAAGCGCCCACCCCAGGGTCCGCTCTCTGGCCCCTCATCCACGCTTCGGGCGGTCGCTTTGTCAGTGCGCTCTACTGTGCTTCGTCAGACACACTCCTAGCGCCGTCCATCGACTCCATACTTGATTTGATGCCGTGGAGCAAGAGGGTGGACTCACTGCGGCGAAACCGCAGTGAGTCCGCCCTCTTGCTCCGATCTTGTACCCCCATCTTTACTCGGGTATAGCTGTAGTCTCCTGTCATGCCCTTCATAAAATCTTTGCATCTATTAGTTATGCCTTACAAGCTTAGGTCCTCGCGTCTCCTTGACATAAATGCTATTGATCTGTAAGTCGAAATTAAGCATCCAGCCTTTGCCTAGACTAACAGACTTTAAATAACCGGGAGCAGACAATCCCTAATCCTTTCCTCCCCGCTTTCGACTAGATCTAAACTCCGACATCCTCTACAATATCCTCACCAAAACCGTGGTAGTGGGCAGCTCGACACGACTTACAATGTAGAACTGGATGAAACCGACCCCTTAACTATGTCCGTGGACGAAGAATCCGAGGTGTCGATGACCTTAGTAGGTCACGCGCTTTCGTTTTAAGAATTCCGTTTAGTACTCTATATTGATGTAACTGTTGATGATTGACGATGATTCTCTAAGTAATGCACGCGTAACAACGCGCGGTGTTATTAGGTTGTCCGAATTTTTATGTGTTATCTACGTGTCCGATATTATGAGTGTGTAGCTTTAACGATATAGGTAGTTAGTGAACTGTAATAGTTAATAACGAAACTCTACTTTATCCCTTAGGGTGTAGAGTTCTATATCCAACTCGTTAGCCGATAGTGTCACTATATAATTAATGGTTGTCATGAAGAGTGGTATGCATAGATTGTGGGGAACGTCGTCACCCTTGCGAATGTTCAAGAAGGCTCTCTTGTGTACTGCTCTTAGGCCTATCTAATATGTAGGTGCCCTAACATTAAGGATTATCGTCTATAAGACAAAAGGAATTTATGGAACACGTTGTACTCTTTAATCTAGATTAAATTATAAAATTAACTACGGATAAAGTCCCGTAGAAATATAGTTTTAAAAGTTGACACCATCACTCAATATATTCCTGCAGCTCAAATAAAAGTTGTGTCCGAGTGAGAAACCATTTATTAGCTCAAACCTTTTAATTATGTCATTTTAGTGTAATATTTACTATTTACAGTATTTTTTTCTCTTTATAATAATGTTTAGTTGATAAATGTTTAGCACAAACAAATTAGTTAGGATTTTTAATCTATGCCCAAATCATTGGCGTTAATATTATCTATTAAACTTATTGTGTGTTTAATTATTAAAACAATATTTCAGCGGATTATGTAGGTACTAATAATGTATGTAAATATCGGGCCTACAAATTTCTACACCTGTGTCGCTCACTGTACAGTTACCTTTATTATTGTATTTAAGGTTATCTTAAGATCTGTTAGGGCCGATTGGATGTCACCACGCAACTTAACTCGCATATTATCACTCTGTAAATAATGAAAATGTTTCCTAAAATACTTGGAGTATGATTTCAATAGGGTCTAACTAGCTACGATATATACGAAAAAAAAATAGGATAATTTTCAATCTATAACATATATCTAAAAGAAAATAACTTGTGCAAATCTCGTAGATGTCGAAAGTGTAATAGTATTAAACTTCTTTATGAGAAGCCACATTATTAATAATTATTAAACAATTATTAAACAAATATTATACAGTACAGATAATCTAGAACACAATGGTATGCTACATAAGTGTTTGAATAAATGTTTTTGACATCACACCGCTCACTCCAGCCTACAGCTCTGGAACCTTGGTGTAAGAGACGCTATGTATAGATTCAGTGACAGTCTCTGTATCAGATTGTAAATGTAACGTTGAAGCTTATACGGGGCGAGAAAGCCCTGCGAGTACGCCTGGACATGGTTAGAACGCTACGTTAAATGTTTGTGTTGTTTCTTGCTCAGTTTTCTATTTCCGTCCCCTTGTTTCGTCTTTAGGTTGTTTAATGTATACACATACGGAGCTAGAAGCAGGTAGTTGGTTCGGTGCGGCGAGCGCGTTTTTTTTCTTGAGTGGATGCGGCAACACTCGATGCTGTCAGTTTGACAGTACGGAGGAAGAAGTAAGCAGTTGGCGGAAAATAACCTTTGCAATTTGATATTCTTTTTATAACAAAACTCATATAACAACGCCCTTGAGATTTCTATATATATATATATATATATATATGTATCAATTGTATGAAATGCTTAGACTAATATGCTGTTTGTGAGGCTTCAAATATACTTTTCATTGGCATTTCGAGTCACAAAATGTTTTTTTAAATATCTACAATCACTTTCGATATGTCCTTTTTAGATATTCTTGGGCTGTGATGAACATTGTAGTTAAATAACTTTTCATGTAGTTATTGTAACAATTCTGACGTACATTATATAGGTATCAAACTATCATAAAGTAACTTAATAATTAAAACTGGCAACAGAAATCACTCTTCCGTACTTCCATAGCGGCGTTGTGGTACGGAAGCTTAGCATCTGTAATCTGAAACTCCTTGAGTCCTATTTGATTTGTAAAAACTTATACAACCTGAATAACATGTAATGCGATTGTCACACAACCTTTCAAACTTATTTCAATTACATATGTAATTATAAATTAAGAGTGTACGAAACAAACAGTTCTTCTGTGGGGTAGCATGTAATTGAGTTTGAGGTTACGTGAAGTTTTTTCAACGTTGAAACCATTTTGAGGGCTATTTATCCAAAGCTGCGGTTGCGGCGATTTTTAAATTAAGTATATACCTATCTATATAGATAAATTAATGTCATAAACATACATAAATACTGTTACATATTGGTATTATAGAATTTACGTTATTCATAATTTAGTTTTAAGAACTGAAATGGTATGTTGCGAAAAGGGATTTTAATAAAATTATACCCATCCAAAAACCCGTGTTTCTTTTGTACAACATCAAATTGAGTAGTAATTAGTAATTGTTATTTGAAACTAGCTGCTGCCCGCGATTACGTCTGTGTAGAATAGGCTGAAGGCGTAACATTCTGACAGAAAGACAGACGTACCTAAAATATGTATATAAATTATAGCCTATGCCTTATTTTAACGTATAAGCTATATTATTGTAAAGTTTCATGAAAATCCATTCAGTAGTATTTGCGTGAAAGAGTAACAAACACTTGGCCGCTCGCACTTGGCCGGTTTTTTCCATACATACAAACTTTCGCCTTTATAATATTAGTAATGAGATATCGAATCCTTACTGGCTTTTTAGCGTTACGTACCCAAAGGGTAAAACGGCACTCCGCTGTCTGTCTGTATCTCATGAACCATGACAGTAAGTTGAAATTTTCACAGATTATGTATTGCTGTTGCCGCTTTAACAACAAATAATAAAAAAATATTTAAGTGCCATGACATACATACAACAGATGATTTTTTTCTTTTTATGTGCAAAGTTGGCAAACGAGCAGACGGTTCACCTGATAGTAAGTGAATACCGCCGCCCATGGACATCTGCTACACCCGAGGATTACAGATGCGTTGACAACCTTTTGAAAATTGGGCTCCGGCTACCTCACTCACCAGACGAAACGCGAAGGTAGTTGTCATACATCCACTTTACGCTGGTCTCCTGTGAGGTCGTGGTACTTACCCGGACGGGCCAGCCCATTCGCGCAACAGCCGAGGCTGCTGCGTGGCCCTACCACTGCAGGGTTTTTATAGAACCCTTCGTGCACGAGTCCAACTCGCACTTGGCCGTTTTTTTTGCACAGTTATGCAATATGGCAAGTAATTAGGCGGCACCATTACGTCTTACGGGTGAAGCGCTCAACCTCTAACCACTGATCTAAGCGGTCCTCACGTCTTGAAAACCTCGAAGTCTATTAACTTTCTTCATTGCATTTGAGCAATTTAAAACAAAGCCTTACTGTAATGCAATAAATAAAATGCAGGCTCGACTCCTGCATGGCCGTAAATTCTTAACAATTTATTAACAAAAAAATAAAAATTAATCATCAATAATATGGAGTATTAACATAAAGTTCGGGTTTGTTTCAAGTTTCATTTTAAAAGTAGACAATATCACTATAAAAACTTAATACTGAAAAAAATTATTTCAAATAGCAATTAATATTGTTTGTGTGCGGTACAGGACATAAAAATAGATGTAAGCATTGCTAGAAATGCGAAAAGGCTATGTAGGTGTAATATGTTGAGATTGTCTACGGCGTGGCAATCAGCAGTTTAGTTTTGTGGTTAAAGCTTTGCGCGGTCCCTTAAGACTGGGGTTCGATTCCCAACAACGAAAAATTTTTCGCCAATTTTTTCTACAAATTCTAAAGTTCCATCTTAAGCGTATAGTTTAGCTCTATGATGTTTAACTTAATACAAAAGTTTATAAAGTAAAGACCGGGCATTACTCGCGAGGAACCGCCTGCCTAACATCAATTCTCCTTGGAAACACACAACCGCACCCAGGGCAATTATTTGTGTCGCGCAAATACTTGTCCCGTGTCGGAATCGAATCCATCACCCCTGGCGCCGAAGCCAATCACATTTGTTTCCTTTTTTTTAATGAACTTACTTTAGCTTGGTCTTGCCATTTAGGACAACATTATCCTGTGTTGTAAGGACGTTTCACAAACATAAGTTTCACGCGGGCAAACACCCAGATTCGACAACTATCTGTGGGTCAAACAAGTTTTATGTCCCGTGTGTCAATCGAACCCACGACCCCCGACGCTGAAGCCAATACTTTAGCAACCGCGGAGTCCTGTAACTGCCGAGTCATTCAGTTCTAAGCTCGCATAAAACAGAGGTAAACTTTTATCTGAGATTTAATTATTACAAAGCTGGTGAAGAACGTAAACTTGGATCGAGTTCCCGTGGGATTTCCGACCAACAGGTTTCCTTGCAGATTACACGTGCGTTGCCGGTCATTGAAACAGTCCGAATTTTCGAGAACGTCGTCTCGTCATTAGCCGAAATGCAAGACTATAAATTATTGCTAGTCTCTGTACTCTACATGAGAGTAAGAAATGTGTGGAGTCGTCAAATTTTCCTTCGTTCCCAGGATTCGGATGCCAGGACCGCCAAAACATTTTACGACAGTTTTATCTACAAATTTTCGAGGCTAAAATCGTTATTTTTCCCCTTTCTCTATCCTCTTCGCGGCCGTCCATTAATCACGTGATGTAGCATTTTTTAACCCCCCTCCTCCCACTTTGGTGAGGTTTCAACAATCCCAAACATCCCCACAATCACGTGTATCTTTTTAGTAACTACAAAGTATCTTAAATTTTTTAAAATTCTTTTTTTAAATCTGAAAAAAAAAAACAGAATAACTGGCGACTGGCAAGCTGCTTTTTTTGTTTAGAAATTGTCGAAAAAATAAATACACGTGATATCTTACTACACCCCTCCTCCCCGTTGTGATATTTTGTGATATTTCCCAAACCCCTCCACCCCTTTCGAGCCTCATGTGATTAATGGACATCCCTTCTTGTCTTCTTTGACCCTGTAGTACTTACTTAGTCGAGCTGGTTCTATTTACATCAGAGCAGAAGTCGTTGATAGCGCTACCTCTCACAGCCAGTAAGGAGAGCTGGTGGTGTGGGGCGGTGATAGCTTTCGCAACTGTAAATAACACGGTTCCAGAAAGCTGTTCAACCTCATTGTCCGATTTTAACGCGGCGGTCCACAAAGTTATAGTTAAGAGGCATATTATGTGCTACCCACCTACGGCTCCGTCGTCAGATAGCAGCCAGTTGACGTTTTAAAAATATAAAAAAAAAACAAAGAAGTTTAAGAAATCTATTAAAAAAAAGACGTCATCCGCCATGTTGTTTCACGATTGTGCCGCCATTCCACAATGCCCGCCTTTTATAAGGCGCGTCGTCTAATTATTTGTCCCTTTGTACGGCTGCCGAAATGAAATGAAGACCTGATAGTGGCATTTAATAATATAGCTCGCGATGGAAAACTGGACCGAACTTATTTTTTTATGTTCGACGATGGGAAATTTTAGGAGAGGAACGGTTACCGGTTTTCTTTTCGTTATAGATCGTTCATGGGGCAAAGTGTGAAAAAACAAGACTATTATACCTGTAACATTATATTGTAAACTGACCTTTTAAAAAAAGAGCAACTGTTGAGTTTCTTGCCGGTTTGTTCTCAACAGAAACTGCTTTCTGAACCGGTGGTAGCTTACCAACATATTAATTTCCTTGTAAAATTTGGACGTTTCATAAGAACGCGCAAGCGTCTATGTGAATAAAGATATTTTATTATTTATATATTCATTATGAACCACCGCCTCGTTGGACACATGAGCAAGAGAGTAAAATACTGGCCAACATGGTTACTGGTACACGTATATATGTATGTACGCATACCAGTAACTATATATCCCTTGCAATGCCCCAATGAAAAAATGTGCTGTATGTCCTCAGCACAACAATCAACCAAGGCGTGAAGGTGTAATAAAATATTTTGTTTTCATTGTACTACGCGGGCAGCAGTTTTCGAGTTACTTTTCTTTACCACTGCCAGTTAAATACTCATAACACCTTGATCTTTACCAATATCACAACTATCGGTGGACAAATATGGACATTATACCATATGATTAGTTCAATTCTTTGGACATAATAAATCAACTCATAATATACAACATCGTAAACAAATAATTTGTACGACGCTTACGCACTTTGAGTTCGCTGGACGTTTCGTTGTGTTCCCACGCAAATTGCTTTTACCAATTTGCCTGACAGACGGGAGCAAAACGAGATATTCCAAAACAATCGTAATAATTACTGGAAAATTAAAACGCGCGGGGCTTCGCTGGCTATCTCGACACGTATAAATACCAAACACTCCGTCGTTAGTTTGTCAGACGCTTCACAGCCTCAGTAACAACAGATCCTAGTGCGGATACCTCTGAGCGTCTCCAGTAGACAAGGAACTTTCCAGAAGAACCGCGACGCGGCGTAACGCAAAATGTCCAAGGTCTGCTTTGTATTCTTCTTGGTGGCCTGCTTATGTCTGATTGCGGAAGCCCAGCTGACCTTCACCTCAAGCTGGGGGGGCAAACGCTCCATGATGGGCGCCATGCCATGCAGAAGCGACGAGGCAATCTCCAACATCTACAAAATGATTCAGGTACATCGTCCAAAAGTGTTATATCTTTTATTACATTGTTATGGTGATTACTCAAGGAAATGACTATTTTAATGTGAGACTCTGTTCTAATATAAAAAAATATTTTTAACAAAAAAAGGACAGACTTCAAATAAAATTATGTACGTAACTATTACAACATTACATGCAAAACAATGTATATTTATGCGATAGCAGCAATCGCGGTTGATTTTCTGTCCTATTTCGAAGAGTTCCGTTGCTATCTCCGAAAATCATCATCTGATTTATAAGAAATTTGAAAAAATATATTAACATCCGAATTGATAACCTCCTTCTTTTTGTTGTCGGTTAAAAATGTATTGTGTGCAGACACAAAAAATATATATTATAATATATATAGTACTTTATAGATACATAGTATATGAATTACATATCCTATATATAAATCGGCTTCAACCCTCATATTTGTGTATGTATATTTTTTAAATTAGTTTAGTTATGTAAGTTAAACTTACTCTCATGCAGCCATTTGAAAAGCAAGCGTAAAAATACAACTAAGAATTCACTAACTTTCACTAACCTTTCTGGTCTGATATCTTTTTTCTTACAGAATGAGGCAGAAAGATTACTTCTCTGCCAAAAACCTTAAAGAGCGGAAACGGAAGATCCTCACAGACGCAGACACTGGCAGCACTTGTAAATTATGATAACACAGATTAAATACTTGGCACATTAAACCAATAGAATTATAATGCATAGTTTGTAATCACACAGATGTATATTCTAAATAAAAAAATCTAATTAGACGTCTCGTTTCTTTAATGCCCTAAAATATCTTATGTCAGCTATGCTTTCTGTTATTCTGTTTTTATAGTTCTCTTAACTTTGCTTCCACATTCATAACACAGCTTGTACTGGGACCCTTCATTGAATCACGTATGCATTTGTCAGACCTCGCCAATCATTATATATAAGACTATCTAAACAAAAAGCCGTTAATCACTTAAAGTTAATCAGGAAGATTTTGAAATATCAAAATATCCTAATTTGAATATAGAAAATGGTTGAGTTTTAGAAGTTTAGGGTCACATAATAAACGCAAGATTTCAAGGTATTATTATCTCAGTCTGCGTATAGTATCCTAATATTAACAAGTAAAACATTTATGGTAACAAAAAGCAAAACCGGCTTCAAATATATCACTCAATATTAAAATTTTCTTTAAGTTCCCTGATGTATTTCCGGACCCCGAGCTCCAACGCCAATCAGATTAATATGGGACCACATGGCTTAACCGAAACAAATGCAAAAATAATTCTTACGATCGGTTCAAAAAAATAAATGACAAGAGCTCGCTTTGACTATGGCATCAGGGTGTAAGATACCTCAGCTTGTTCTGCGTTTCCAAATGTTTGGAGTATATTTAAAAACTAAATTTATAAACACTACTCTTTACACTTAAAATTAAACAAAATTTGTAGATATCTATAGTCGTCATTATTTTGGCTTCAGACGCTCAAACGACTAACGTAAGCGGTTGATATTTTTCGGTTATTTACAGTTAGTTCATTTTATCGGTTATTTAGTTTTCCCACGAATACAGTCTATACAACGTGTCCTACTGCTGGGCAAAGGCGTCCTTTGCACGTAGGGTATTGCGTGGCATATTCCTCTTGTGACCCCACTACGGAGTGGTGGACTTCACATAGAGATTTTTTCTTTTTTTTATGTAAGAAAGTGACAAACGAGCTGACGGTTCACCTGATGTTAATTGATAACCGCCTGCCCATGGACATTTGCAACACCCGTAGGGTTGCAGATGCGTTGCCACCCCTTAGTAAAGAGAGCTCTTCCACTTAACGCCGGTCTTCTGTGAGGTCATGGTACTAACCCCGTACTGAAACCCGGGCGGAACTGCCCATTCGTGCAACAACGAACACTGTTGCGTGGTCATACCGCCGAAGAGATTATTTCCTGTTTAGAAAATATGCAGTTGTGCTTAAGATGTTTACGATTACCTTAACCGTTGAACAAGTGTTAAATATGAAATTGTTAATCCCATTGCTGCCGGTATTTGAACACAGGTTGTTCGAGTATACCGAGTTGAAAGCGAGTGGCCGGACACCGAGCTATCATTATATTAAGTAAATTATTGAGATGTGTACCTACATTGGCCGTAGTTTTATGGTATCTTATATCTATATTCTTGTATATATATGTTCTCTTATATTTCTTGTACTGCTCATTATTAAGTGTGGATTATTTATTACTTAGACACGCTAAAAAGCTAGTCGCAACACTTAACCGTGAGGCTTTTATTGCCCCGAAAGGTAAATCCATTCATGCTTGGCTCTACCAGTACAAAACATTCATTGTTTATCAAATTGTTGCTTCTTCGTCACAAGTATCATCATTTCATTCTGTTAGAGACCGCTGCTGAACATAGGTCTCCTCAACAGACTGCCAGGAAGCACGATCGTTAGCCACATGCACTCATCGAGTTCCCGCACATTTGCTGCGATGGCCAGTACGAGGCAGCCACTCGAGAACTTTTCATTCCCATTGGGTATCGGTTCTACGAGCCATATGACCGGCCCATTGCTACTTTAGCTAACTAATTTTCTGAGCTATGTTCGTTACCTTTGTTCTACTGACGACATATTCGTTGCGAACTCTTTCACGCAGAGAAATACCTAAGTTGCATATAGCTCGATCAGCGACTTTGATTTCCTCATATACGTCTTCGTACTGAAGGACCATGGTTCTGCAGGGCCTCACTGGCAACACATTTATTGAGGATTCAATAAACCATTAGTAAGTCTTCAAACATTGAGGGATATTCCATTCAAGTATGCCTTTTGTTTAACTTTATGTTTGTACTAGAAAAAAATTATTAAATTATTAATAAAATATGAAAAAAAAAGACAGTTAAAAAATTATTACATATTATATTATAATAAAGAAGAATTATTCTTTGTATAATTATACTCATCTTACATGAGTAAACAAATTATTTGGTTAGTTTTTCCATTGAATATCTACATAGACAACAAAAAATTAATTTGATTTATTATTTATCAATTACGGAGCAAATATTGTCAATTAATTACGTGCTCAGAGGTGAAGGAAAACATCGTGGGGAAACCTACATATTTTCGAAATGATAAATCTAAAATGAAATCCGCCAACCCGCAGGCCTTTACCAAGCAGTGGGATATGTACAGGCTGTTACAACTACAATGTAGATACATATTTCGAGTATTCTATTAACATATTGTTTTAATTTTTATTTCGTGACGATAATACATTAGATACACGAATGAGGAAGACATATTTAGCGTTTAGACATCGACGGCTATTAAAAGCCCAATATATAATAATTAATGGTGCAATGTGTTATACACATAAACCTTACTCTTGAATCACTCTATCTAGTAAAAAAAATCAAGATCCGATGCGTAGTTTTAAAGATCTAGGCATACATAGGGACACAGACTTGTAGTTGTATAGGATGTTACAAATTTTGTTTCTTTTTAATTTAATTAGTGTGTTTGAAAAATATTTTTTTTAATTACGGATTTTATTAACGTTTTATATTTTTTATGCTTATTGGCAAATAGCTTTAGACGTGTGTTCATTTATTGTCGCGGTTGTAACGACACGCTGTATACACGCAGCTCTTAAGATTAATGCCTCATATTATTGCTTTTTAGGGTACCGTATCCAAAGGGTAAAACGAGACCCTATTACTTAGATACTCTCTTATACTCCGCTGTCTGTCTGTCCGTCTGTCACCAGGCTGTATCGCATGAACCGTGAACTGAACGCTGAACCGTGATAATAAGACAGTTGATATTTTCACAGATGATGTATTTCTGGTGCCACTATAACAACAAATACTAAAAAACCGAATAAAAAATATTTAAGTGGGACTTCCATACATAGACATGATTTTTTGCCGTGTTTATAGATGATACGGAACCCTTCGTGTGCGAGTCCGACTCGCACTTGGCCGGTTTTCATTATTAGCTGAAACTTTATCATTTAAAAAATTGCTGTATATTTATTCAAATGAAGGATTACCTTAACCGTGCGATGCTACATGTTCAACAAGACTAGTAGCAGGTCTTTCAATATCAGCGATCCAAGCATTGATCAATTCTAAAGTTGAAACAGATAGGAGCGAAATAGAAATCGCAACAAACGTCACAATTGCCCACGCACTGACAAATTAAAACTGCGGGGCTTCTTGGGCCATCGCGACGTGTATAAATGCCAGACCCTGGCTCCATACAGCATCAGACGCTTAACAACCTCAGCGAGAGCATTTACGGGAACATCTGACCATTTGGGACGTATATAAGGCGGTTTTCGTGGTGCGAACAGTTAGCATGTACGGGATCTGGTTCGTGGTCTTCCTGGTAGCGTGCCTTCTCTTGACAGCGGAGGGTCAGCTGACCTTCACGTCGAGCTGGGGGGGCAAGCGCTCCATGGGGGACCCCATGCTCTGCCGCAACAACGAAGCCATCGCGAACATATACAAATCGATTAAGGTACGTTGTGTTCATACCGTTTTTATGTAAAATTTTGACGTTTCATAAGAACGCGCAAGCGTCTATGTGAATAAATATATATTGATTTGATTTGATTTGTACCGTTATTGGAGTCGTATATGTTCATATATGTCTATTATTGTAATTAACTCTAAATTATCGTTAAATCATATCAGATTGTAATGTTTCTATATTACACTTACATATTTTTTTGTTATTATTATGTAGTATGTAATACGTTAAGAAATTCTTAAACAACTTAATTTAGTCCTAAATTAAGCAAGCTTATGCTATGGGTACTAGGCAACTGATAAAGGTATTTAAAAATATTTTTCATTCCTCATTACGAGACGGTGGTAGATTTAAAAAAAGACTATCGATAAATGAAATGTACATTTCTTATTTCGATGAAGAAATGATTTGATTTGAATTGATTGGAATGCAATATTTATTATTTCAGAATGAGGCCGAAAGAATGCTTCTCTGCCAGAGACTTTCATGAGCGGGAACGGAAGATTCGTACTGAAGTTGAGTGGCAACATTCGTAAATTATTCGAACACAATTATTTAGTTATAACGTTAACATACTAAGTGTATTAGATCGCTGTGAATAACAGATGTATATACCTAATAAAGACTACTAATTAAAGAAATTATTGATTATGTCTGTTATATTGAAATAACTCAATATCGGTAAAACATGGTACAAATATTAACACAGAGTTTGCGTGTTGCCTTCATATACGAATATAGTAGTACAATGAAATATAAACCATTCCTGAAATGAACATTGCAGAAACAGTTATAATTAGTTAATTAAAATAAGTTAAAATAATTGAATTAAAATATGTGAAAGTATGAATAGCGCGACATTTTTTATATCATAACATACTTTCGTGACACGTTCGGATTTCCTCTGAAAAACAGAACATTCATTCATACACACGGATGACCCACATTCTTAGACGGCAACACGATTTCTTACTTTAAAATATCTATCAAATATTTTTTATCAATTTACGGTGGTAAGTTAAAATCCTTGACCATATAAAATGTCTAAATCGATTGTTTTCCTCCCATGTCTTTAGCGAAAACCGGCCTTATGAGTAACGCCCGATAAATTCAAGTGTTTGATTCTTGAACCCTCTTAATCAGGTGCAAACAATTACGTACGTATTTTGTGTTTTCCACAATCCGGTATTCTTGTATTTAACATTAATTTATATAAATATTTTGTTAAATACCCTTTATTATGGGTGTATTAGTATTAGAGATATTAATATCAACTAAAATACGTTTCACTAAGAGATTAATGTTCGATTATATAGGGAAATATTAACACACAAAAATAATATTCATAATAATATTTATTTCAACCAAATAATAGCACATTATGACTATTTGCGCATAAGCACTACATTACAGATTGTTTGTAACTACATCTTAATAAATATAAAAATATAAATTCCTATAAAAATATTTACAGGTCTGTTTCCTATTGTTCTAGGTGGAGAATAATTAAAAAATTATCGGATTTCACTATTCGTTTCCTAACGAAATGAGTAGTGCTAAAAATACGTAAAAACAAATAAATACATAATAATAATGAAAAATAACGCCTAAAAAATAAAACGTAAGTATACAAAGTGACGAAATTGAAAATTCAAAAAAAAAAAAAAGAATTTGCGAAATGTCAAATGCGCCCTTGAAATTTTACCGCCATAAAAAGAAATTTAACTTTAAATAATTGACGTAACCACAAAAAATAAAAAGACGCTTAAAATTAGGAAATTCATAAACGATATAAATAAATTTAATGGACGAAACAAAATAATATTTTTAGATGCCACATTTCGCTCGGGATTTTTTAAGTTTAACACAAAGGGGAATGTCATGATAGGAAAGATTCAATTTAATTTACGTCCACAAATAGCCCGACAAGAGACTGAAGAAGGAAGTAACGATTATCTTTGCTTCAGATATTTCATGAATACTTTGATTACTACAAAATTGTGATGACAGAGTATTGTGGAAGGTTAACTAAGTTTATGCAACAATTAAACTTCCAAAAGAACTTAGGAGATTTAGTTAAACTCAATGTTATTTTTTTTAACCTAACACAGGAATTAACAATATTATTTTAAAAACGTCCCATAATATTTTTTAAGTTGCCCTATTTTTATATTTTAAAATTAAATTTAATAAAAGTTTATACTATTTTGTGCGACTACTTTACTTTCAAAATTATCTTTTAAAATGTTAATCTTGAAAGATTTTATTATGCAAATAACAAGATTAATATTAAAATATTTATCATCATTAAAAATCTCTTTTGCATTACATAAATATAAAATTCAACTCATAAATGTATAAATAAAAATTCCTCTGAAATTGCATTACATACAAAATTTCCCGAAACGGCATAATTTTTGATAACAGAAGCTTTGTTCCAATTATGTAACTTAACAAATGAAAGAATTCATTGTTAATTAAAAGAATTCATTAAACGGCAACTTAGAGAGCCGCCGGCCGCCGCTAAGCACATTAGCTTCTGAGCAAATCAAATAGAATCCTCATTTTACGCACTCTATAATAATATTATATATAATATTATAATATAAACGATTGAGGCAAAAGCTAGAACTGCGTACAGACAACACAAAATAAATTATACATACTTTAACTTTTTTTGCACTTTGTAAAAAATTGTAAAGTATTACATACTTTGTCCAAAGTATATAAAGTTAAATTAACATACTTTGGACAATATGCATATTTATGTACGTTCCACTTTAAACCACGTTAAAAAACAACTATACTTATTGCATAAGTAATTTAACTTAACGACATCGTGTTAGAGTTTATTTATTTTTCTCCTAATCAACAATTAAACTACGCTTAGTGGTCTAGGATGCGCAGGTTGCCCGACACAATCTTGTTCTCCAACACGGCTCCTGACGGGATGTCGATCCTGTCTCCATGGTTGGCTATTATTATTACAGTACCCTGGAAAAAAGGTCATTTAGCCAAATGAATAATTTTAACACTTTAAAACAAAGACTAGTATAACTAGAACATAACTTAATTTTGAAGTTGCTCTTTAAAAAGTATTACAAGATTTAACGTAAGAGTAAAAACTACTTGGACTTACGCCCGGTTTCCGAAACACTGATGATCGTAGAAATTAACTAATCATGATGGTTTAACTCTCTGAATTTATTAGACTGACCTTCTTAATAATCAGAATGATCAATTCAAAGCGTTCAATCATCCTTTTGGCAACTCAAATGACATTTGAAAAGCCATTTGACAGCTGATTAGTTAACTTCTACGTCGTTTACAAAAAACCTTTATAAACCTAGGTAGAAAACACGTCACCTTGAGGGACACCCCCCTGCCGAAGGTGACGTCCCCGGACACCGTCAGATGATCCAGCTCGATGAGGTCCGGGATCGTCGCGAACCTGTTCAGGAACTCCTTGACCTTGGCGAAGTGGTTGTCCCCCAGCTTGACGAGCGGCGTGGACGGGAACATCCGCTGGGGCGACATCACGAGCGAGCCGTGCGAGAGGCCGTACAGGTTGGACATCACCAGCAGCAGGTCCGAGGTCTTCTTGACGGGGAGGAACCGGCTCCGGGGCACGTTCACCCCGATGCCGCCCTCGAAGCACTTCATCGCTGCGCCCACGGCCGTCTCCAGCTGGATCACGTTCAGCCCGTCGCCCAGGTGCTTGTTGTTCACGATGATCTCCATGTTGAGCGAGCCGCGCTCCACCACGCGCTGCACCGCGTCCAGCTTCGCCCACAGGTTGTTCGTGTTGAAGAACTTGAACTGGCTGACGGATTTGAAGTCATCCACGTGCTCCTTCGGCACCTGAGCGATCTCGAGTAGGCGGAGCTTGTCCTCGTACTGGATGAGGGTGCCGCCCTTGACGTCGGCGCGCGTCTTGTCCGTCACCTCCATCACGAACTCCGAAACGGGCCGTTGAGGGTCTGGGTTGAGGAGCAGGTCGAGGATGCTCAGGTCGACGGTGGCGCCGAGGTTGTCGATGTTGCTGATGAAGCAGTAGGTGCGCCCCTCCTTGATGAACTTCTCCAGGAGGCCCGAGTTGTGGAACGACTCATAGAAGTCGCCGTGGCCAGGCGGGTACCAGCTATTTAGAAAGGGAAGAGTGTACACTTGATATAAAAAAAACAGAGATTATAGGGGTACGCAACAGTTCGCTGTTGCCCGAATGGGCAGGTCCATTCGGGGAAGTACCGCGACCTCACAGAAGACCGGCGTGGAGTGGAAGTGTTATACTTCGTCGTTATAGGTTTATTAAAAAGTGGCAACGCATCTGGCAATTGTGTTGCAAATGTCCATGGGTGGCGGTTATCACTATACCGCAGAGGTTCTTGCCGGTTGTTTTCCGGACAGGCCTAGTTTAGTGAATCGGTGGTAGTTTATTGACGTTCAATAAGGGGTTAAGATAAGCCTATATTGAATTTTATTTTATTTTCTTCGGAAAACATGCAGCTAAAGAAACGTTAATAACCTATGTATAAATAAAGAACATTTATGTTTCACAACATTTATTTTCTTATGTAAAGAACCTGATAATATAATTTGTGTTTATTGTAAGGTGCTAAAGAAGTTGCAATGTTAGTTTCACAGAGTATTACATAATCGTTTATTCTGTTGTCATTTTAGGCGCTTGTGAAGTCTATTTACTAATTAATCCATCTTCCCGTCGCATTCGGAGCAGTTAATGAACTTCATTAAGGTTAAAATTATTTGTGCATGTCATAACTATTTTATTTACAAAAAAGTGATTTCGTAATTTACGTTACATCTCAGTTGATTATAATCTCTGGGAAGTAAAATGTTAATGGCTTTTAGATCAACGTAATAAGCGGCGGGGCCTTGATGATCGCTCATTGTCTTAGCGCTCGGTTTTAATTTAATATACTCTTTATTTATTTGTTTATTTTATGTGAAGAGTTGCCAAGCGAGCAGGCGATTAACCTGATGTTAAGTGAAGACCGCCAGCCATAGACATCTGCTACACCCGAGGGTTGCAGTTGCGTTGACAACCTTCTGAAAATTGAACTCCGGCTACCTCACTCACCAGACGGAACGCGAAAGTATTATACTTCCACTTTGCGCCGGTCTTCTGTGAGGTCGTGGTACTTCCCCGGATGAGCCTGCCCATTCGTGCAACAGCCGACGCTGCTGCGTGGCCCTACCACCCACAACTCCAGATTTGAATTAGCCCTGATAATAAACAGAATTTATGCGAACCCCCTGTTATATAATCATTCAAAGGCCTCGGACTAGTCGTAAAATAGAAATTTAATCAACGAATTTCCTATTTAATAATACGACAACGAAATTATCTATGCTTGTAAGCGCTGTATTTTCCTATGACAACACTGTTCTCAGTTAAAACTACAATCATTTTATCAAACAGAACAAGTGATTGTAATTTGACAGTGTTAAAAAAATATTTTTTGTGTTTGCGCGAATATTAATTTTGAATAAAACTAAGCTGCGAATCTTTCGCGTTTAGTTACGATTTACGTTTCGAACACTTCACGGTCAGAGTATATAGAGAACCAATTATAAAGAAATTTAATGGAATTTAACCTCACAGAAGAGCGGAATAAATTGGAAGTGTCATAGTCCACGTTTCGTCTGGTGAGTGAGGTAGCCGGGGCTCAATTCATCAAAAGGTGGCAACGCATCTGCAACCTTACGGGACTTGCAAAAGCCCATGGGCGGCGGTTAACATTTAACATCAGGTGAACCGCCCGCTCACTTGCAAAAATCCAAACTCAAAATTATTTATTCATCGACATAAGAAACTTACATTTCATCTGTCGATAGTCACATTTTTTTATAAATCTACCACAGTTTCGTAATGAGGTTCCTCTAACGGAGAAGAAACAGGCGAAAGAAACTCCGTAGGTATCCTCTTTTTTGTAATTCATTTTTTTTCTTTAAAAAAAATTAAAATATCATACAACTGATTATTTTTTTCCTTTTAGAAATAGCTTGGGAGCGATCAACCCAGGGGTTATTGTCATTAATGTATTCATTTGTATTATAATATTCCAGTTACTCCAAGAAAGAGCACCACTTGCCACCTTCTCACATAAGAAAAATATTCACTTTTCCCACTTGAGCCAAAGTCCAAGCGTACGCCGTTCGTGTACCAATTGAAATTGATTGGGCAAATGTCTGTTAGTTACGCATCAAACCAGTTTCATCTCAATTCTGATTGACATGACCGAATGGCGTAGTTGGTAGTGTTCCCGCCTCCCGCGCCGGAGGGTGTGGGTTTGTTACATATCGTAAAGTGAAAAGTAAAGTAGCGGTCTGTACAGCCACTGCAGGGCAAAGGCCTCCGTACAGAGGGTATCAAGTATCGGTTAAATTGAATTAAAAGGCGAGCGCCCGGACAATGAGCTATCACGGCTCCTTCCACACATAAAACTTTTCCAAATCAAATGTTCCAATATATCAGAGCGCGTAAACATAAAAAGTAGACCAAATGACCGTCAGCAATATGAGTCAATTTTCAACCGATTTCATTTTATTGACGAAAAACAAAACCGACTTAAAATATCTGTAAATTCTATCTTGTAAATTCATTTTGGGAGTTTTTCAGGAGTTCCCTAAGCAGCCGGAGCCCAAGATGCAATACCAATGAAATTAATATGGGACCACATGGGAAGCACAAGCTTTCAAAAAAAAAAAAGAAGCATCAAAATCGATTCACTCATCTGAGGTAACAAACAAAAAAAATAAAACACAGCCGAATTGAGAAACTCGTCCTATTTGAAGTCGATTGAAGAACACGCCATATATGTGATGTTTCATTCATAGGTATGATCCGTACGTAATATAGACATGTCTATGACTCCGTAGCGCAGCTGTCAAGGCATTGGCTTCGGCGTCGGGGGTCGTGGGTTCGATTCCCGCACGGGACAACTATTTGTGCGACTCACAGATAACTGTTTCGCATCTGGGTGTTTGTCCTCGTGCAGTTTATTCTTTAAAACTTCCTTACAACACAGGATAATGTTATCCTAAAGTGAGGGTAAGGTTTTTAAAAAATAAATAAAAAATGATAGGTGGTGATAGTTCAGACCAAATATAACCGCCGTGACAGCTCAGCGCCTGGGCGCTCGATATTTCTATATACACAAGCAAATTTGAAATCCCGGTGCCGGCACCAATGAATTTGTCAAGTAAGTGCTGTCTTATCACGTGCTCAGCGGTGTATGAAATCATCGGGAGTATACCTGCAGATTTTCGAAATAATAACATATTTCGAAGATATGTAAAGTCCGCCAATACGCAGTGGGGTCGCGTGGTGGACTATGCCCTGATATGCTCTTTACAAAGGAAGCGTTTGCCCAGCAGTGGGGCATTTATAGGCTGTCACTAGCAGCTGCCCACGACTACGTCTGCGTATAATATGCTGAAGGCGTAACATTAAGATAGAAAGACAGATATACATAAAATATGTATATAAATTATAGCTTATGTGTTATTCTAATATATAAGCGATATTATTGCGAAGTTTCATTAAAATCCATTCAGTAGTATTTGCGTGAAAGAGTAACAAACATTTTATTTTATTAAACAATGCCCTTACTTTAGGATGACATTATCCCGTGTTGTAAGGAGACGTTTTACAAACATAAATCCCACTCGGACATGCACCCAGATCCGAAACAACCAGCTGTGGGTCACACAAATAGTTGTCCCGTGCGGGAATCGAACCCGCGACCCCCGACGCCGAAGACAATAGCGTGGCATCTGCGCCACGGAGTCATCAAAGCATCCATCCGTACATGCAAGCTTTCGCCTTCAGGATATTAGTAGGGACTCACGCCTCTTTGTCGGAGTGCACGCTCCCGTCCTTGGCAATCGGCAGCAGGGACTCGCGGTTGATGCGCGGATGGCACGACTGGTTGAACGTGTGGATGTCCAGCTTCAGGCCCTTGTACTTCCTGATCACCTTCTGGGTCTCCTCGTCGGTGTTGAAGGAGTTCATCAGCACCAGGGGCACGTTGCATTTGTACGTTTTGTTCAGGTGCTAGAAAGCAGTGGCCAAATTCACTTCGATATAATTGTGTTTCGATTGACATTATTGCGACTCCATTATATTTTCTGATTGGAGGTACATTGTATTCTGTTGCGATTTTATAATTAAATTTTAAAGCATGTATACTGATGAACTGCGAGTGTGTTATATTTTGCACACTCTGTAAAATGGGTAGATCGTAGCGATGTCCCTAGGAACCTTCAAGAAGAGAGCATACTCTTTCCTAAAAGGCCGGCAAAGCAATTGTAAGCCCTCTGGTGTTGCAGGAGTCCATGGGCGGCGGTGATCACTTACCATCCATCAGGTGATCAGCTCCTATGCCGCTTTTATCCCATAAAAATATACAGATAATATATAATATAGATAATATACAGATACTACAGTACCATTAACTTAAGCTTGACCTACATGTCGCAAATGAAATATTATTATTATTAACTTCATGAATGCGCTGGATCTAACACGTGGTGGTCTCTTGTACATCTAATCAAGGGATACGATAATCTAAGACATGGATTACAAGCATTCGATGATTTAATCAAGAAGTGAGATATTGGTTACACAGAAGTACCTGGTATATACAGCGTGTCGTTACCATCGCGACAATAAATGAACACACATATAGAGGATAACTTTTTTAAGTTGTATTAAACATTTAAATTTTTTAAACATCAAAATTTACCGAGTTATAAAATTTTCCAAAACAAAGAATTTTAGAACACCCTCACCTATAAAAGCGTAATGTAAAGTTCATTTGTAAAGGCATATGAATGGGTTAAATGAATTTAAAAGAGACAAAACATACTGTTAGAAGGAGAGGCTTGTAATACGACGCTGTGGCGCGAGTTGTATAGGATGTTACAAATTTTGTTTCTTTTTTACTTTATTAGTTTGTTTGAAAAAAAAAAAAATTTACTTATGGATTTTGTTTAACTTTAATATTTTTTGTGATTATTGGCATGTAGCGTTAGACGTGTGTTCATTTATTGTCGCGATGGTAACGACACGCTGTATAAAAAAATATTTACACGAAATCACAAATGAATAACGTCTATCAATGGCCTTTGTCCACGTGTTAGACGTAGCCGAGATCTCGGGAGATTGCGAGATTTCCGAGATCTTGCGATATTTTTACTGAAAAAAGCAATTGTGTACGTAATATTTTTTTGTGACACGTCCTTACAACACAGGTTAATGTTATCCTACAATAATGGCAATGATTTTTAAGTAAACAAAAAAAAGAATCATTTATCAGATAAAATGCCCGATTCGATGGAAGAGCCAGTCACTCGAATCGCTCACCTCGATTTGCTGTACAGTCAGATCCAGGAAGGTGAGTTCGTTGCGCACTTGGATGACGGACTTGGGGCCCTTGCATCCCATGGAGGTGCCGAGGCCACCATTTAGCTTCACCACCACCAGCTTGTCGAGCATGTGGTGAATGTTGTCGGTGGTGGGAGTCTGCAGACTCGCGTAATCGATCACCGCGCCCTCTGGCAGCTTCTGTATCTTCTCCCAGGTCACGGAGGGACCCTCTGGAGGGAGATGTAATCAAAGAACTTGTCGTAAGAAAAAAGAATGCTGGTCGAAGAATGAGTTGCAACGTCAGATTTTATGTGGAAAATTCAATGTGACTAATTTAAGCTCCGGGTGTAATCAATGTCAAACTCAATTTAATAACTAAATCCACCATGGTTTAAATTTCATTATATCATTTAGTTTGTTACTAAAATGATGAGTGTTTTTGAGTATCAAAATGACTTTGACACATGGTTCGATTTCGTTTAAAGTAATTAAACAAAATATGCAAAAAGATATTCACCAGTGTCAGGAATTTGGCAGTGCTTAATTGTATAGTTTTACCTACTCTATGAGCCGTGATAGCCCAGTGTCCGGGCGCTCGCATTTAATTCAATATGCTCGAGCAACCTGAGTTCGATCCCCGGTGCCGGCACCAATGAAGTTTTTAACTTTAAGTGCTGACTTATCACGTGCTCTGCGGTGAAGGAAAACATCGTGAGGAAACCTGCATATTTTCGAAATAATAACAAAAAAATATATATTTCGAAGATATGTGAAGTCCGCCAATCCGCAGTGGGGCCGCGTGGTGGACTATGCCCTGATACCCTCTGTATAGAGGAGACCTTTGCCCAGCAGTGGGACATGTATAGGCTGTTACTTTACTTTACTTTTTACCTACTCTATAGGTTTACCTTTAACCAAGTAGATATGAAGATTTGCTGACTAATGTAAGGTGGGACACTTTGGACAGATTTTTGACGGGAAACTGCAGAAGGGCCTCAAGAGAGAGAAGTAATAAACAAATACAGGGGCTTACGCTCTGCGAGGAACCTGGTGAACAGGTTCTTGAAGCTCTGGAACTCCTTGAGCATTTGGGGGCGCCTGGTCTCCGGCACGGAAGCCAGGAGCCGCTCCAGCTCCACCTCGACCCTGGCGAGGGCATCGCGCTTGGTGGCCTCCTTGAAGTCGCGAGATCCCGACGGTGTTCGCTGGTGGCTCCGGATCTGGGTGAGGGGCAGTGTGTTAGGCCAGGGGTGAGCAACCTTTTTAATCAATGGGCCAATTTAAATTTAAAATTTTTTTGACGGGCCGCACTTAATAATTTACGAAACTTTATTTATAATAAATATTAGAATAAAAAAATATAAAATAAACAAGTAAAGATTTCATATACAAATTTTAATGCAAGGTAAAAAACAAACAAGAAAAGAACAAAAAAGAACAAAAAATATTTCAGTTGAGTATGTACTGCCATTTTATTATAATTAATTTTATAACACTATATTGATGGGAGAAATTCGATAAAATAAATTCAATTTTAGAAATGCTTGGCGGGCCGCATAAACATGTTTAACGGGCCGCGCGTTGCTCATCCTTGCGTTAGGCAATATCAATTTTCTCAGGTTTTCAACCCGTGAAAATCCTCTTGAACAATATTATGTGTTAAAAAAAAAGAACACTAAATGTACCATATTTGTACAAGAGATGAAAAATATTTCGTGAATGTATCAATGGATTCCGTACGGAATTCTAACGAACAGACGAAAAAAATTGGATAACATTGAAATGAAATATGGGCTTACGTTTAAAGTTTTTATTCACCGGCTCATTGGGAACTTGTTTATAGTGTACAAGTAGTAAAAGATGATCGTTCCATGAACGATCGGTTCGCATGCGTGGACGTATATGGTTTACAACTTGGGTTACAATATCGAAACTTTAGTAGGATCCCGAATTTATTTCTAGTAATGAACACTGCCTACGTCACTCGGGGATAGCGTAGCATTCTAATTGTGGAAGCATTTTTGAAATCGGTCCAGTAATTTTTATAAATACTATATATATATATATGTGGGGGATAAATGAAGGTCGTTTCGCTAGGGAATCTCCTTTATTACGCGGATTAACAAATTTTACTTTAAGAGCTCAAACGTCGTTCCTACTGTATATCGCCATTACTCTTTTTTTTTCCCATCTCTTTCACACAGATCTTCCTTTTCCTAACTTCCGTTCGATCCGTTTCATGCATCACTTATTCATTCATCCCACATTCGGCCATCCTGCTATTAGTCTGTCCTCAGACTAATTTAACATAAAATGATTTCACATTACATAATTATACAAATAAAGATACTCTTCCATACTCCGTTTACAACATTGTGTATCTAACACCCTTCCATACACATACAGAATGAAATCTTACACTAATGGCTTACAAATTACATATCTCAAAACTTTTCTAGAGACACATATACAATTATTTTTTACACTTGTGGTACACAGTTTGTATATCTCAACAATTTTATACACCTATACAATACAATCTTAACTTATGTTGACTAAACAATCAACTTTTAAACTTATACTTATGACTACTGACAAAAAACAAAAACTTAATAAAAACCTCATTAGTTTGTAAATGAAACTTAATGGCCATATGCAGTGTTTTAGGAAACAATACAATTTTAGAAATAAACCTTGAAATACTTCTTAAATATGGAATACACAAAAATATAAAATACAATCTAAACAAAACAAGATCACTAAGTCCAACAACTCACCATGTGTCAATAGGTTTAGGCCAGACTTTCATATGATCAGCAGATGAAGAGGTTTTCCATGGACCTTCTGTAGTACTGTCCATTTTTTCCACATCATATCTATCCTTCCCCTTTACCTTAGTTATCTGGTATGGACCTAGGAACTTGGGTTTCAATTTCATTCCTACTCCAAACTGTGTTCTTTTTATAGCCACAATATCTCCAACATTATAACTGTAACCTCTTTTTCTCCTTTTGTTAAAACTTCTCATGTTTTCTTCTTGAATTTTCAATATTTGCTGTTTCGCTTTCACACATAGTTCTTCTCTATCTTTAATATAATGATTTCTACTTTCCTCTCTAAGCAATTCATAAATTTGTATATCCTCTTTTGTCTTCATTTTTGTGCCAATAATAAGTTCAAAAGCGGTAGTGTCAATACTTCTGTTATAAGTGCTGTTTAAGGCTCTTTGAAGACGACTCACATGTCGGTACCATAATGTAGGATTTTCAATACAGAGTTTGGTCAGTACAGAAATAATAATTCTATGAACTCGCTCCACCTGTCCATTTCCCCTGGGTACACCAGTAGTAATGGTTATGTGCTTAATATCTTCCTGTTTGCAATATTCTTCAAATTCACTACTTGTAAATGCTGTACCCTTGTCAGTTATAATTCTATGCGGGTTACCAAAACATTGCTGATGCAGTCTTAATTTATCTAATGCTTCTTTACTGGTTGTGCTTTTTGTTGGATAAATCCATGTGAATTTAGTAAATGCATCAATTATAGTAAGAATATAGTTATATTGTTTCTTAGTTTCCGTCATAGGCCCAATGTGATCAACATGTATTGTGTGCAATGGAACATCCTGTTTTTCAATGGGATTAAGAAATCCTTCCTGCTTTCCCTCCTTTCTATTCGCCAATAAGCATGGTATACAGGTTAACAAGAAATTTTCTATTTTCTTAGGTAAATTATTAATGTAATAATCTTTACTTACTAACTCTAACATCTTCTTTTAGAGAAATGACCATTTTGGTGGACCCTTTTTAAAATCTCATTTTCCATGCTCTTCGGAATAACTAATTGTTGTTTTCTCCTTTATATAGTAATCCACTATCCAATATATAGTCTTGATAAGGTTGTTGTTTCAAAATTTCAATAATTGCTTTCAGGCCATCATCATTTTCTTGAGCATACTTATGCTGTCATGTAAATCTGCAAAAATGGTGTAAACAAATGGGTTCCTACTAAGCGCATCAGTATGTTGCATCTTACTTCCTTTGCGATGCTCAATACTAAAATCATAATCTTGCAAAAGTATTATCCACCTTGCCACCCTTGTGGACATTGCTAAATCTTTCTTATTTAATGTCATTTGGAATGCTTTACAATCAGTTATGATCTTAAAATGGATTCCGAATAAATAATGTCTAAATTTTTTTATTCCTTCAATAATCGCTAAAGCCTCAAGTTCATAGCTGGTATATTTGCTCTGTTGTTCAGTAGTTTTCCTACTCATATAATGAATTGGATGTAACTCACCATCCTCAACACTTCTCTGCATTAAGATAGCTGAATATGCAATACAAGAGGCATCTGTATGTAACTCTGTCGGAAACCTAGAGTCAAATATCCTTAATACTGGTTTTGTAACTAATTTCTCTTTTAATGTATTAAAGGAAACCCTATGCTCATTGTGGAATACAAACTCTACATTCTTCTTAAGTAAGTCTGTAAGTGGTTGAGCAATCAGTGCAAAATTATGAATAAATTTACGAAAATATGAACATAAACCAATAAAACTTTGCAGTTGTTTCACATTTTTTGGTTCAGGAAACCTTGCTACGGCCTCAGTCTTATCCAGTGAAGGTCTCACCTTTCCACCTTCAATTACATGTCCAAGATACTCAACCTTTCTAACTAAAAGTTGACTTTTTTGCCAATTAATTTCAAGACCATACTCACTAGCCCTCTTCAATACCTGTGATAATCGATCTAAAGCTTGGTCTTCGCTTTCCGCTGGAATTAATAAATCATCGATGAAAATCAAGATCACACCTCTATCTACCAAATCACGAAAAATTATGTTTATAAACCTTGTAAACACCTTAGGACACACCGATAAACCAAATGGAGCCCTCAAGAATTCATACTGTCCGGATGGGGTAACAAAAGATGTATATTTAATTGAATCTTCATGTACCCTTAAATGAAAGTAACCATTCCTTAAATCCAGCGCACTAAAAATTTTACCATTTTTACACTTATCAATGAGATCATCTACAATAGGTAAAGGATATTCATCTTTAATTATTTTCCTATTAATCAACCTATAATCAATGCAAACCCTAAGACTACCATCCTTCTTTCTTACTATTACTAATGGACTTGCATACTCTGACTGGCTTTCCCTAATAATACCATCTTCAAGCCATTTGCTTATTTGACAACTAACCTCTTCTTGTTCCTTTAATGCTAGTTTACGGGGTCGTTGAGCAACTGGAATATCATCCTTGAGGATAATACGTAATTCAATTGGTGCTTCTTTTGTCTTCAATGGTCGGTAGGTCTCCATCATACACCTCGCTTGTTGTTTGTGCTATCCTGCTGACCTCACCACCTACAATGTCTAAATGAGAAGCAATACAAGTTAAATTATGCAGCCACTCTTCATTTGAAGGCCTAAGAAAAACATTATTGTTTTCTAAAACAAGGCAAACATATTGTAAAAACTGCTGGCCAAGAATTATGTTATATGTTATTGCGTTATCAGGCACTATATAAAACAAAATATTATCAAAGCAATGGTTGTCAACATACACTGTAGCATTAAAGCGACCTAATGCAGTTACGTTTATCAAGCCTAATCCAGTAAACACTGTCATGCACTTTTCAAATGTCTTTCCGGGCCATGCGTTATTGAAGCAGTCCATGCGTATTAAATTAACATCACTTCCAGAGTCTATCAGCGCAAGAATTGTTTTTTCGCAAACAGTAATATACTTTAGAGGTCTTCGACATCCATTAGCATCGTTTACATTCATGACATTGCGATTTTGACAACTGTCTAACTTCACGTCACTTGAATCGACATTTTCATTATTGCCACCCTGAAGGAACAAACTGTTGCGATGTCGTGATTCGTCGCAGTCACTAGGCTGAACATCGACACACATCGTTTGCATTTTCTTGCTGCCAACCTTATTGAACTCCCGATCGCGCCGCCATGTTTTTTCTTCGCTTGTATCTGCTATCTCGCTCAAGCGTTGACCTTTGAACTTGTAGCATTCCGATGATTTGTGTCCGAATGTATTGCATCGAAAACATTTATAACCCAAATGTTTTTGCGGGCATTGTATGGAAATATGACTTACGTCACCACAATTGTAACACTTTTTCAGCTGCTGGTTAATCTTCGTACTCGAACTTTCTTTATGATTGTTTTGATTGAAGGGCC